TCCTGCTGTATTGCTGAAGTTGGGTATGGGGGAGTGGGGGAGCGACACTCAAGTCCGCCCACCCCCCAGTGCGATGTCTGAGGGGCTGGGGAAGGCTTTCAGTGGGGAGGGGGCTTCAGAATTTGGGGGGGGTGCACAGCTCGGCTTTGGCCTTGAGACTCGGGACCGGCATAGGAGGGCACAATCAGATCCTTGCTCTCCGGAAGTGGGTGCAGTCTGTGTGGCCGAGAGACAGCTGAGGGTACCCCAGAAGCCATGCCTCGGTCTGCCCGGGCTCTGCAGTATGGCCCCTGGCCTGGGCCTTGAAGGGTGACCCTGGGGATGGGCGTGGCTGAGGCCCAGGTGCCATTCCAGGCACCGTGTGGCACCATGTTACCCTCATAGGCCCGAGCATGGACAGAAGTACCACCCCCTTGGCCCCCCCCCCCCAATATCCCCCAGGACGGTTCAGACAAGGCAGGGGAACATGTGTAAGGGCTTGTGGGCAGGAAGGTGCTGCCGAAATGTCTGGAAGGTTCTAAAACTCCAAATTCCTTGGGCCAGAGCGATAGTTACCATGGGGAGGGTGCTTGCCTTGCGCACGGTTGACCCGAGTTCAATTACGGGCACCCCGTAGGGGCCCCCAAGCACCCCCAGGAGGCAGGAGTCAGCCCTGGGGACCACCAGGCATGGCCCGCACCTACCCCCGCCTCCGTCCTTGTGCTGCGTCCCAGCAGCCTGTGGGCCCCAGGTGACAGGTGAGCCCTGCTCCTCCCCGGGACACCCACACGAGACAGGAGGCGCTGACTCAGAGAGTGCCCTGCGGGGCCTGCAGTGGCGAGAGAAGGAGCTGGGGGTGGCCCGCATCCCCCTGGGCTCTCGGTTCCTTTGGCTTGTGGCCTCTCCGAATCGCGTTCATTCCATCAGCAAGCACTGAGTGTCGCTCAGTGGGACTGGGCACTGCCCAGGAAACAGGGCAGTGCACTGGGGTCCCTGGGCCAGGGCCTGTTCTCACGGGGGAGGTGCTGACCAGAGGTGGCGGTGTCACCCCGTGCACCTGTCACCCCTCTCCTCCTCCAGACTGAACCTGGTGCCTGTGGGATGGTGCCCTAGACCCTGCACGGGTCAGGAAGGGGCATGGGGCGCTCTGTGTTGCTTCGTCCAGCCACATCACCCAGCCAGTCCTCTTCAGCCCAGAGGGAGAGGAACGACACCGAGCTGACCCCCACACGGGCTCCTTTCCCCTCCACAACCCAGAATTTCACCTCTCGTCTAAAGATCGTGTCGTCTTCACATCGAAACTTGTTGAATGTTTGATCGTGGGCATCCCATAGAAGCCCCCGGGTGCGACACTAAAAATCACTGCCGGTGCTGATTTTTGGTGTTTCTGTGGCCTGGACCCAGCACTGAGACCAGAAGGGGGTTGGGAGGGACCCATCGGGGGGAAGAATCGTACTCTCCCACTCAGCTCCCGAGAGAAAACAGGAGTGACCCGAAACTCAAAAGCGAGTGAGTAGGGAGGCTGACTCAGTTCTGAGTGTCTCCCTGCCGCCATCTCCTATCTAGCCCTGGGTTCTGGGCCTCTGACTTCTTCCCCGCTGGCTCTGGTGGTCCGGGGGCCCAGGGGCGGCAGCAAGTGGTGAAACAAGGGTGCACAGTAGCAGTTGGGGGACCCAGGGGGCACGGCAGGGGGAACTTCAGAGGGGTCCCCAGCAGGGTCCCCTTTGGGGGTCCTCAGGAACTCGTATGAAACACCCTCAGGACGTTTTGTTTGTTTGGGGGCCCACACCTGGCAATGCTCAGAGCTCACTCCTGCTCTGCACTCAGGGATCACTCCCGGCAGACCTCAGTGCAGTGCCAGGGATCGAACCTGGGTTACCCGCATGCAAGGCAAACGCCCTCCCCCCTCGGCACTCTCTCCCCGGCCCCGTGGGCGCTATGCTTTGGTACTGACCCAGCCGGTGGCCAGAAGACAGGACTTGGAAAGACAGGGAGAGATGTAAGAGTGTGGCCCTGTTCCCTGCCCAATGCAGAGCTCACTTTCCTGGGATTAGGAACAAGCACATCAGGGCCTGCTCGCCCCACAGTGCTCTGGGGATGGCCGGGGGCCTAGCGGGTGCAAGGACGGCAGGCCACTGGGCAGAGAGAGCTCTTTCACCGTGGAACCGCCATGCCTCTGAGAAGCGTTTCCTGAACCCAAGATCTGAGGGCATGCCCGGTGCCTGCAGGGCCTCGGCGGGCAACTGCCTTCTGGCTGGGAGCCGTGGGTGGACCCCGATGGGCTCTGAGCTCAGTGCTCAGTGCACCTCTCAGCGTGGGGGGGGGGGTGGACGGCCTGGAGAGCAAACATCGGGTGTGGGGGCACCCACAGTCTCTTCGGGTACTTGGTGCCTCTCAGCGCCTTGGTAGTAAGCTGAGAAATTAGATGCACATCAGCGATCATGGTGTTCATTCGGCTCCCCCCAAGAGGGCTGTTCCACAGTATGAGAACATAATTCCTGTAAGTTAATTTCCTTTCCTTGTCCCTTTCTGTCATCTGTGTGCTGAAAAAAAAATCTGCTTAGGGATCTGAGACAGTGCAGGGGGGAGGACAACTCGCCTTATGTGTGGCTGGCCCGGCTGCACCCCATATGATCTCCTGAGAGACCCCTGAGTGCAGATCCAGGAGTAAGCCCTGAGCACCGCCAGAGGTGGCCTCTGCGCGCACGCACACACACACACACACACACACACACACACACACACACACACACACACAATCCATTTATTTCTGCTGTCTTGGCAACAGGAGATGTGATCGGCTGAGTCAGGTTCCCTTACTGGAAGTCCTAGGTCTGTCCGGGTGTGGCTGGGAGCTGGGTGCGTTGGTGCTGGAGAGACGCTCTGACTTTCTGGCCACCCACTGCCCTTTCCACCCACCCTCCTCCTGCCCCTGTGAGGGCCTGGCAGCCACCAGCCTCTCTGGGGACCCGGGAACCCCCTCCCCCCCTGCCTTTCCTCTGTGTGTGTGCAGAACCCTGCCCAGCTCCAGCAAGGATTTGCCTTGGAATCCCATGCTCTGTCCAGAAGGAAAGTGGAAGCAGCTGGAGGAGAAGGCGCGTTGGCTTCACAGCCCTGCTGGTGCACATGGGGGGACCTCCTCCCCCTCCCCTCCCCCACTCTGGTGACCCTCAGCCGCATCCGCACTTCCCCCAGCAGTCCACCAGGGGGCCTCGGTCCCTCGCGACGCAGCTGTCTGGCCGCTGGGAACGTGGGTCCGGCCGCTGTCCTTCAGGGTGTTTTCCTGGGACCACAGACCCTCCGCTTATCCCGGACCACTGGGTTTCCCGGCTCACTTTAAACCACTCCCCAGAGTGTCTCCTTTGCTCTGATGAAGACCGTGGAGTCTGTGCGCTGTCTGTGCAAAGGGACTTGCTTGCTGCCAACCTGCCCAGTGTGTGCCTTTCTCTGCACTGGGCTCCTTTCTGACCGCCTTTCCATTCCGGGACTCCACCTCCACCCCCCCACCCCCCCCACCCCACCCTGTCCTTGTGATAGAGTCTGCCTCTAGTCTTGCGCTGTGCTCTCCCATCTATGCCCAGACCCCCTCCGGACTTCCTGGGGCCCCCGGGAGCCCTGTGGTCCCCAGTTGAGTGACTCTGCTCCAATGCATGGAGCCAGGCGAGCGCTTAGCCGGTCCCTTGGGGCTGTCCAGGTACGAGAGACAGGGTACGAGAGAAGAGCTCTCCACTCGTCTCTACCCTGGACAGGCTGTTCACGCATGGGGGCCCCCAGGGCACGTTCTGAGTGGCAGCTGCTGTCTCACACGCTGCCCAGAGTTGGACACGTTTGCGCCATGGGCAGAGTCATCCCTGCCCACGGGTGGGTAGGGCTCGGGACTCAGCCTCGTTCTCACAGGCAGGCTTGACACAGTGAGCGGCTATTTGTGACTGGGGTGGGGGCCGTCTCCACAGAGAAGGACCTGTGCAAAGTGGTTAGGGGATGCCCTGGAGGGCCTGGGAAGCTCTTTGTCGCTGGACAGGTGTGCCCGTGAGGCAGGTGACTGATGAGTATGCGCCTGCTGCCACCCACTGTGGCCTACCAGCCGTGGCCTGCCAGCCATGGCCTGCTAGCATGGTCTAATAGCCATGGCCTGCTAGCGTGGCCTGCTAGTTATGGCCTGCTAGCTGTGGCCTGCTCACCTACCCTGAGCTGCTCTTTCTGCCAGCTGTGGCCTGCTAGTGTGGCCTAACAGTGGTGGCCTGCTAGCGTGGCCTGCTAGCATGGCCTGCTAGCATGGTCTAATAGCCATGGCCTACTAGTGTGGCCTGCTAGTTATGGCCTGCTAGCTGTGGCCTACTCACGTACTCCGAGCTGCTCTTTCTGCCAGCTGTGGCCTGCTAGCATGGCTTAACAGCCGTGGCCTGCTAGCGTGGCCCAACCAGCCGTGGCCTACCAGCTATGGTCTGCTAACTTGGCCTGCTAGTTATGGCCTGCCAGCTGTGGCCTGCTCACCAACCCCGAGCTGCTCTTTCTGCCAGCCGTGGCCTGCTAGCGTGGCTTAACAGCCGTGGCCTGCTAGCGTGGCCTAACAGCCATGGTCTGCCACCCGAGCTGCTCTCTCTCCTCACAGCGCTGGGAGGGAGGGCGGGCCGGTGTTCTCTTCATTAGCTGAGAACCGAGTCCCTCATTTCCCACCTGGTCCCTGAAGCCACACCTCACCCCCCCCGCTGCACACTCTTCCCCTGTTCCTCTCGGGGCTTTGCCGGGGCCTCAGGAGGGGGACGCGACCTTCCCAGGGCCGCTCCTCAGAGCAGGAGGATGGGCCTCTGGTAAGGCTGCACCGGGACTCTGGAGGGCGTCTGGTGTGTCTGGGGCTCGCCACCTTTGTGTCACCGCTGGCTCTGATTGCCCTGAAAGAGTGACCGCACGTCAGGGCTGGACGGCCGCCTCTGCAGAAACTAAGTGCATTGAGAGCCGCGCATGCAATATTTCACTCGAATACGTGCCGGATGGAAACCCTGTCAACTCTGTGCTCGCAGGAACTTGACGCGAGGAGTGGGGAGATTCCGAGAGATCCTCCGAGCTGTGGAGACCAGAACCACGCAGAACCTGCGCATGGTGAGTGGGCCCCGCAGTGGCACGCTCGCTCTCATCCTCACTCTCTCTTGCTCTCTCCCTGTCAACTCTCTCTCTCTGGCTCACTCTCGCCCTCTCTCACTCATGCTCTCACGTGTGTTCTCTGTTGTTCTCCCACTCTCTTTCTCACTCTTAATCTCTCTCTCGCACTCATTCTCTCTCTCTCTCAACCTCCCCCTCTCCTGGGCATTTCATGAAATATGATTGATGTGCCGTATGATTCAGCCAACTCAAAGTCAGTAGTTTGTGGTATCTTCACAGACCTATTCAGCCATTACTAATATTGAATTCTTACTTCTAGCATCCCCAGGGAACCCCATTAGTTGTCAGACCCCAGTTCTGCCCCTTCCCCCCAGCATCCCAGGCTCTGCAAACCACTGTTTCTGTGGATCTGCCCGTTTGGGGCATTTCCTGCAGCGGGGATGATGCTTCGAGTGCTGTTTGCAGGCTGGCTTCTCGCTTGGCATCCTGCCTGCAAGGGTCGCCATGCTGGCACGTGGGTCAGTACCTCGCTCCCATTAATAACCAAATCAGCTTCCATTCAATGGATAGAGCACATTTTATGGATCTCTTCAGCAGATCATGGATATATGAAATGTTTCCACATTTTAGCTATTATGAATAATCTTGCTATGAACACTTCTGTGCAAAAATTTTTGTGCTCTCCCTCCCTCCCTCCCTCCCTCCCTCCCTTCCTTCCTTCCTTCCTTCCTTCCTTCCTTCCTTCCTTCCTTCCTTTCCAACCTCCCTCCCTCCCTCCCTCCCTCCCTTCCTTCTTTCCTTCCTCCTTCCTTCCTTCCTTCCTTCCTTCCTTCCTTCCTTCTTCCTTCCTTCCTTCTTTCCTCCTTTTTCCTCCTTCCCTTCCTTCCTTCTTCCCTCGCTCCTTCCTTCCTTCCTTCCTTCCTTCCTTCCTCCCTCCCTCCCTCCCTCCCTCCCTCCATCCCTGCCTCCCTTCCTTCCTCCTTCCTTCTTCCTTCCCTCCCTTCCTTCCTCCTACCTTCCTCCTTCTTTCCTCCCTCCCTCCCTCCCTCCCTCCCTCCCTCCCTCCCTCCCTCCCTCCTTCCCTCCTTTCCTCCCTTTCTTCCTTTCCACTTTCTCTCTGTCAGTGCACCTGAATGGCATTGCAGACCCTTACGGTGCCTTTGCTTCACATTCCGAAGAATATGTGTCCCAGGTGCCTGTGTTATTTTGCATTCTCCCCGCAGTTATGAGGCTTTCAGCTTCCCCACCTCCTCCCAGCACTGAAGAGTGTCTGTCTCCTCCGTCATTGCCATCCTAGCGGCTGTGAGGTGCCACCGTTGGGGTTTAGATTTACATTTCTCTGCCAGCTGGTGCATCTTTCCATGTGCAGATTGGCAGGAATTGAAACACGGCTGTGTCCCAGGGGGCTGCAACTGTCCACAGTGCCCTCCACCACCACCCCCCCCCCCCCCCCCCGACCCAGGCAGAGGGGATTCTATCCTGAGGAGTTCCTGCCTATCTGAGGAAAACAGAGGAAATGCCATCAACCCACTAGCCAATCAGCACACGCCTTTCCTGGGGGCGGGACCCTGCATAGTGACCCGACTCTCCTGCCCGGAGGCTCGAAGCTGATGCCCAGAGCTCAAGGCTGATGCCTGGAGCGTTTCTCCGGGTGCTGTAACGAAGGCTGGACCTTAAGGGAGTCAAGGGAACGCATGGCTGTGTCACAGTCAATGTCCGAATCCCACGTAAGGTGGCAGCTTCTTTAGTCTTCGCCATCCCTGCCACTGCCCCCTGGCCAGGAAGCCTCTCCATCCAGTGAGAGGGCAGGGTTGGGCACGGCCAGAGGGTCAGCGCTGGGGAAGGGACTCCTCTTCCTGCCTCCGTCCCCGTTTCGGATGCAGACATGCAGCCCGCGGGGCCCAATGGTTGGGCCGTGAGCTTTCCTCTACTGACAGGCACTGTCAGACACTGGAAACTCACTTGGTCTACAGTACCGGTTTACATGTTGACATGATTTATTGGTAGGTTCATCAGTTTAAAAAGTGAAATGAGGGGCTGGAGCGATAGCACAGCGGGTAGGACATTTGCCTTGCACGCGGCCGACCCGGGTTTGGTTCTCAGCATCCCATGTGGTCCCCCGAGTACCACCAGGAGTAATTCCTGAGCGCAGAGCCAGGAGTAACCCCTGAGCATCACTGGGTGTGACCCAAGACGCAAAAAAAAAAAAAAATAGAAATGGGACTCAATCCATAGAGTTCTTTAAGTTAGCGGACAGTGGGCGGGGGGCAGGAGGTTTGCAAATCAGAAATATCTCTCACAATCCTTGCCAAATGTCTTTTTTCTCAAATTAAATTATTCCCGACATTCCATAAAACTTCTCAACTGGTTGCCGGAAGCCGCTTCTTCCAAGCTCTGCGGGGACCCATGCGGATGACTGATTCTATCGGCACATGTTTTTATCATCATTTGAAAAAGCACATTTGAAAAGGCAGCCTTTCAAAGTTGCCCGATGATGGGGTATTTGTTCAGATTGTTGATTAAGCAGAAATATTTACGTTCCATTGAGGAAATGACTGGATTTCCCCCACTATGAAAGTGTGAGCGCGCTGAGCGCACCGTGGGAATCCGCCTGACACACCTTCCGTGTCTTCACTCTGAGCCAGAGACCATCTTCCGCCGAAGTGTGAGGTCTGAGCTTCCAAATCAGCGCCTTCAACTTGGATACAAACGTCTCGCGCAGTGGGACAGGGAGGGAGGTTTGCTGGTGTCCTTGCTTTTTTTTTTTTTTCTGAGATGTGCAGTGACGTGGATTTTAAGGAGGTTCTGGGTGGAGGGCAACTATTCAGGGATCAATACTAACACAGGGAGGTGGAGGGGCCCCCTTTGTACCAAGGGTCACACTCCATGAGTCACTAGTCCCTGCGTTCCAGGCAGAGGGTGTTCAGGTTACATCAGTGAAGTGTTTCTGATTCCTGCCTTGTCACCAAAGGCGTGTGAGACCCGTGTCCCGGCATGACCCCAGCCATGCCCCTGGCTCTGCACTTAGGGCTCCCTCCTTGCAGGCTTGGGGGTCCATATGGGATGCTGGAGGTCAAACCCGGGTCAGCTGCATGCAAGGCAGTGCCGTCCCTGCTGGGCTCCGTCTCCGGCCCCTGAGTGTGGCGGTTTACACCGGATTTACTCAGAGGCCTCTGCTGAGGCCATTCCTGCTGGCTGTGTTTCTGTCCATCTCGGTACCAGGTGATTCTGTTCAATCCGGTTATCGCAAGTTTATGACCGTGAGATGAAAGGAAGAAGTTGCTATGTAAACTGTCTGGAGTGAGGCCATGGCAGAGCAGGACTCAGGGAACTTGTAGAGGCTGGAGAAATCCTTCAAGGGGCTGTGCTTAGGCTTTGCAATCAGGAGGCCTGGGTCCTAGCCCTAGCACCACATGGTCCTCTGAGCACCAAGCCAGGAGTAGTCGCTAAGTGCCACTGGGTGTGCCCCCTCAACCTCTCTCCCCACAAAATATTCTTCTCCCCCAAAAGTTAAAGATGCATTTATTCATAGCAGGTAGTACATTTGCCTTGCATGCAGTTCACCCGGCTGACCTGAGTTTGATTCCTCTGCCCCTCTCGGAGAGTCCCGCAAGCTACCGAGAGTATCTCACCCGCACGGCAAAGCCTGGCAGGCTCCCCGTGACCTATTCGATATGCCAAACACAGTCACAACAATTCTCACAATGGAGACGTTACTGGGCCCGCTCGAGCAAATCGATGAACAACGGGAGGACAGTGGTACAGTGCAGTGCTAAACATGCCAGAGTTGAAAGTTGGAATTTAGACAGAAAGACTCACGTGAGTGTTCCTGGCAGGAGTCTGAAGTGGGGGGCAGTCCCGTGTGCCTCCACGGCAGATGTGGTGGGGTCCCTCCATACAGTGGCCGGCACTCAGGCGCGCGTAGGAGGGCGTGCTGGGCCCCTACCAGGCACACAGGCCGGGAGAGACACTGCCACCCCGGGCCCCAGGGCACTGCTCCTGGAGTGACCCCCGCCCCCCCCCACACACACACCCTGGGGACCACGAGCACCCGAGTGGGAGCAGGTGATTGCTTCCCAGGGCCTAGAGGTGGGGGATGAGGAGTGGCCACTCGAAGGCTCTGGGATTCCCCCCGGGGGGCCTGGGCAGTGTTCTGGAACTTTCTGGTAGCCATGAACTGCTCACTACAGCAGAGACTCGCCAAGTCTCCTGGATGGCTCACTCAGGAGGGGTGGAAACACAGCGGTGTGTTCAGGCCAAAGTTGTGGTTTGGGTTGTTTTGGGGGGATGGTGGTGGGGTTGGGAGCGGGGGCTTCCAAGCATGCTCAGGGGCCCCGAGAGCCCTCCCAGGTGACCCTCAGCCCCCATAGCCAGTAGTTCAATGTGAGGACGTGAGAACTTGGGGGGTGGATGGCGCCATCCTGGCCCTGCAGTTCTGGGCGTCCCGAACCCCATTATCGTCTCCTTGGTGCCTGGGCCCAAGTCTGGTCCTGAGGGTCTGCCTTCCTTCCCATCCACTCCCTCCCTTCCTTCTCGAACTTTCTCTCCTCTTGTCCTTTATTTCTGCTTGCCTGCGGTTGCCGGTGTTTGCTCAGGGTTTCAGCTCGAAGCTGGATAGAGCCAGGCCAGGGAAGTGGGGGAGCTGTGATGGACGGTCATCCCCCTGCTACTGGACCCTCCAGTGCTCACCAGGTGGGGACCCAGCGCCCACCCCTGCCTGTTTAGTCGTCGCTGGAGGTGGGGGGGCTAGGGGAGGGGTAGCCCCATCCCAGGGATGCGCTGGATCCCTGGGGACAGAAATGACACTGGACCTGGGCCCGCCCACAGCTCCGGGCAGATTTCCCTGCCTTGGAAGTGAGGGTTCTTGTTCCTTTTCTCCTTTTTTCCCCCTCAGCTGTACCGAGCAGAGGTTCTTCCCCCCCCCCCCCCCATGCCCCCCTCCCACCACCACCACCAGTGACTGCTTCCTGCAGACATCTCTCATTAGCTGGTATGACTGCAAGGAGAAAAGAGGCTCTCACGGACAGTCGGAACGAACGGTTCGGGTACAGCGTAGCTCCTGGGCGTTGCGTATCGGAGAGAGGGTCACAGATGGCTCAGCTGGCGACGGGCGTGTGTTTCATTTCACCTTCTCGCAGACGCTTAAAAGCCAGTGCGTTGTGCTCGGGAATAATCGAGAAAATTTGCCTCTACCCAGTGCTTATCAGAAACCTCCAAGAGAGTGATTTGGATTTGCATTTAAGTTTCCTTCCAGTGTTTGAAGAGATTTCACAGGGCTGAAAGCCCTATTAGAGGTTCTTAGGGAGCATATTTGTTTAAAGAAAAAAAAAATGGCTCATTTCCAGATAAGATCAGCGTCCTTTGTGTCTTCCAAAGAAGGCGAGAACTCGGTGGGGAAACGGCTTCAAGTGTTATTCCGCCACCTCCAGCTGGTCACGAGTTTGCCTAGAACACCCTGGAATCCAGGGTGGCTGTTTCTGAGGGATTTGTTCCATTTTTTAAAAAAATTTTTATTAGTGAAACACCATGAGGTACAGCTGTGGACTTACAAGTTTTTGTGCTTGGGTTTCAGTTATACAATGATCGAGTACCCATCCCTCCACCAGTGCCCATTTCCCACCACCACGGGTCCCAGTATCCCTCCCACCCCCCATCCCCCCCATCCCATCCCACCCTGCCTCTGTGGCAGGGCATTTCCTTTTATTCTGTCTCTCTCATTTTGGGTCCTGTGGTTTGCAAGAGAGGCATTGAGTGGGAATCATGTTCGGTATATAGTCTACATTCAGCATGCATCTCCCATCCTGGAAGGATCCTTCCAACACCCTTTATTTGGTGCTCCCTTCTCTATCTGAGCTGCCTTTTCTCCCATATGTGTGTCTGGCCTCCAAGCCATGGAGTAAACCTCCTGGTACTTATCTTGGCTGTTCTTGGGTGTTACTTTATGTTCCCCAGGTGAATGCAATCTTTCTCTGACTGTCCCTCTCTTTCTGACTCATTTTGCTTAGCATGATACATTCCATGTAGTACCACTTGTATGTAAATTTCATGACTTCATCTTTTCTAACAGCTGCATAGTACTCCATTGTGTAGATGTACCAAAGTTTCTTTAACCAGTCATCTGTTCTTGGGCACTCAGGTTTTTTTCCAGATTCTGGCTATTGTAAACAGTGCTGCAGTGTTGTTCCATTTTCTTTTCAACTCCTCATCTTGGACCCTGGGCAGATCCAGCTCCTCTCAGTACATGCCCCCTTCCCCCCGCCCCCAGGCATCTCCCGGGGACTGTCCCGGCCAGGAGTCTGGGAGCTGGTAACCTGTGTCTGGTCTGACTGGGAATCTGTGGGTTTCCCAGAGAGAAATAAAGCAGCTCTCCTGCGCCGGGGCCAGGTCTGACCAGATCAGAGCCCTTCACCCTCTGGGCACCTTGAGGACAGACCCCGAGTTTCCAGGTGGCGCTCCCTTGCAGGACTGGCCCTTGGCTAGCAAGAGAAGGCAGACGCTGTTCTAGAAGGAGTTCGCCAAGTCCAGCCTCAGCGTCCACGGAGAGGCTTTTCCAGGGGCCACTTTCTCTTGCTCGGGAACTGACCTTTGGCCAGGTTGGAGCTGTAGCAGGGAGCACCATGTAGTCTTTTTTTTCTCTATTTAAAGAACTTCTTCCAACAGAACTTAGCTAGAAATTTCCATTGTTTTGCAGCTAAGTCCCCATGCTGACATTTCAAGAGCCTGAACTTGTTTTGTTTGTCTGTTTACAGTGTTCAGATGTCTTTGTGTGTGTGTGTGTGTGTGTGTGTGTGAGAGAGAGAGAGAGAGAGAGAGAGAGAGAGAGAGAGATATGAACGGGTATCCTGTTCCTCACCCAAGCGCCAGTTTTTAATTATGTATCTCAGGATCATGCCTGGCCCGGAGTGGTGGCTGAAAGGTGCTTGTTGGGTAACCAGGGGATGAGCCGAGCCCACTCACGGCCGCACCTCTGTGCCTTTGTGTTCCCAGACAATAGCCCGGCAGCTGGCGGAGATCTTGTTGCGGGGCATGTGTGAGCAGAGCTACTGGGACCCGCTGGAGGAGCCGCCCTGCCAGTCACCGCTGGATGACCCGCTCCGGAAAGGGGCCAACGCCAAGACCTACAGCCTCAGCCGGAAGGCCCGCGTCTACTCAGGAGAGAAGTACGGCCCTGGGCAGAGGGCGGCACTCCAGGGGAGTTCAGGGGGCCCGAGATGCTCTGGTGACTTCCCCCTCAGCCAGAAACCCTTGAGCCATTCTCATCGACCCACTAACTAGTGCATGCTTCCTGCCTGTCTTCCTTTTATTCTTTTTTTGTTTGTTTGTTTGTTTGTTTTTCTTGAGAAGGGGGTCATACCCGGTGATGCTCAGAGGTTACTCCTGGCTCATGCATTCAGGAATTACTTCTGGCAGTGCTCGGGGGAACATATGGGATGCTGGGAATCGAACCCTGGTCGGCCACTTGCAAGGCAAACGCCCTCCCTGCTGTGCTATCGCTCCAGCCCCCCTTTGATTCTTGTCTTCCTATTTATTTGAGGTTTGTTTGTTTGGCTGTTTTTGGACTAGGAGACCACTCCTGGCCCTGCACTCAGGGATCATTCCTAGAAGGGCTCAGAGGACCGCGTGGGGTGCCAGGGCTCGAACCCCGGTCTGCCACATTCAGGGCAAGCGCCCTACCTGCTGTACTATCGCGCCACCCCCTCTTGCTTTTCTTGACCTCAGCCAATCTCTCTTCCACTTGAGCATTTTGGGGGGTTGGGGTGGGGAGCTGAGGATGTTGGGCTTTGGGGACACGTCTGACAGTGCTCAGGGCTTGCTCCCAGCAGCAGCCAGGGAACCGTGCAGAGTCAGGCAAGGCATGTGCCTTCACTCCTGCACTATCTGTCTGGCCCCCTCAAGTTGAATATTTTAAGTAAAAACAAAACAAAAACAAAAACAAAAACAAAACAAAACATGGTTGATCTCTGGGATTCTCCTTCCATTTGCTTTTGGGGACACACCTGGTGGTGCTCAGGGCTTCTTCCTGGCTCTGTGCTCGGGGATGGGGGGGTCACTCCTGGTGGTGGTCGGGGAACTGCATGCAGTTCAGGGGATCAAACCCGAGGCAACCGCATGCAAGGCAAGTGCCCCCCACACTGAGTTTTTACCAGGGGAGCACACCCGTGTCATTAGCATCCTGGGTGACAGGAGAAGGCCAGACCCTAGCAGCCCGCTCCATGCCTTCTCCTTGCCAAGGGGGACGTGTCCTGACTCCTTCGCCTTGACTGGTCTGGTCCCACTTTTGCTTTGTATGTAAATAAGATCCCACATGAAATAATCTCCTGCATCGGACTTTCTTCATCTCACATACCCTTAGCCTGACCCGTGTTTTCGCCTCTGCTCGTGACGTGTTTTCACGGCTGCACACCATGCCGTTTTATCAGTCTGTCCCCAATCTGGCGATGGGGCCCTCACACCCGCCCTTGCTCTCCTGGGGGAACCGTGCCGCGCTGGGGGACGATCTTGGGCCCGTTCCTCAGTGGACATGTGTCTCTCCGTCAGGAACATTCTTCTGTTTGCTGCATTCCCCTCCTGACGAGAGAAGCTCAGGAGGCTTGGGCGTGAGACTGGCTGATTGGCACCCAGTTTGGGAACAGGTGCCAGGCAGTGGATGCTGATGGGATTCGAGGCCGGGTGCGTGGGCTGGTGTTTGTGCCAACGCTGTCGGAGCAAGTGGCAGTGGTCAGGAGTGCTGGGATGGGTGGGCATCACCCCAGACATTTCATCTGGCCCCCAGCTCCCAGGTTTCGGGTGAGAACATGGCCAGCATTGGTGGACAGAGGCAGGAGAGGTGGAGCCACTGAATTAAGGTGGCCTGGAGTCCTGGGAAGCTCCCCCGAGTGGCCCCCGCCCACCATGGCACCCAGTGCCTGTGGGAAGTACGTTCTGTGAGCATGCCCTTATCTCCCCTCCAGCAGCACTCGGCATTCTGGGCCCATCTGTGGGGGCTCCTTGGTTCTCCATCCCGCGAGGGCCACAGAGAGGGACAAGGCCTAGTCCTGCCTGGATCGGGCCAGCTAGGCCCTGAGAACCAGGAGGCATCGGGAATCCCATTCCCGGCTCCGCCTGGAGCAGACCAGAGGGTCCCCACGCTGGAGGCCCAGGGACACGGCCGAGGCACCATGGCCATCTCCTTTTTCTTTTTTTTTCTTTTTTTCTTTTGCTTTTGCTTTTTGAGTCACACTTCTTTTAACTTCACCTTCACCTTGATGTTCATGAATGGTCACAGTTTGCCCTTAACCCCTTACTGCAGCCTGTCTGCTCCTGACATCCCGTTGAAAGGGAGTCTCCCTGCCCCAGCTCCAGGCCACCGGACAGAGGGGCCAGCTTGGATTACATTGTTGGTCCATAGAAACATTGTTTCTACTATGCAAGAGTGACTGTTCTTTCAGGGGAGAGTTTTTGTGTTGCTTGTGAGCCGCAGCTGGTCGTGCCGGAGCCTGACTCCAGGCTCTGCATTCCCTGGTCTGCCCACTGTGCCATCATCGCTCTGCCCGCGTGTTTTTGGTTTTGTTTTGTTTTGTTTTGTTTTGTTTGTTTCTTCTTTTCAAGAAAGCGTTTTATCTGGGAGGAAACCCAGTCAGGGCAGGATTGCTGTTGACAAGTCTTCTCGCCCTGGTGGCCCATTCTCCAGCAGGTCAGATGGCGGGTTAGTAGGTTCACCCAGAGAGTGAGCAACTCGCCACGGCGGGGCCTGGAGCCTTTCCCTGGCCTGGCCCAGTAGCACCCACCAGTGTCCTTCCCTCCCCCCCTCCCCCACGCAGCCGCTCAGGAGGCCACTCACGGCGTGTGTCCACACGTCCCTCTGCCCCGGTGCCTCAGCCACTTCCTCTCGGTCGAGGCCTGAGTTTTCCAGTTGTAGAAGGCTGTGCCAGAAACCCCGGTGTCTCCAGGAGAGGCTGCCTCAAACAACAGGCCCCCAAGTTTCGGGGTTCCCCAGAGCTCTGTGGAAGAGGGAAGGGGACGGCGGGAGGGATAAGGCTCCAGAGTTCATCCTTGGTGGTGGTGGTGGTGGGGCGGTCCGGTGGGTTGTCCCCACACAGGGCCCTCCACACTACACTGGGGTGGGGCAGCAGAGATATGGCTTCAGCTCAGCTCCTGCCAGCATAGGGGGTTCCTGCACACTCCTGAGAGGGGGGGCCCCCACAAGGAGCAAAACCCACAGAGAAACCGCCTGCTGTCCCTCTGCATGCCTCACCCCTGCCCCCGCCCCGGGCCCTTGTGGAGTTCCCTCTGCTGCCGGCTCTCCTCCAGGGAGGCCCCAGGCTCGGTTAATGTGCCAGTCGTTAGCAGCTCTGGTAAAAATAACACGACCGAGCCCTTAAACGGGCTGGACAGAGGCGGGCTTGACCCTCAGGGATTATCCATGGGCTGCGTTGACGGGTGCGAAGTGACAGTTAGCACGGCCCTTTTTCGCCTCAGCTGGGACAGTGCAGAGCTGGCCAGTCAGAGCAGGGCGGTGGCTGCTTTGCAGCCGAGGCCTGGGTTGTGCCGCTGCTTTGGTCAAGTCCCAGTGCTCAGAAGCACCCTCCGGATATCAGGAGAAGGGGATTGTGTGTGTCCGTGGGGAAAACGGCAACACACACACACACACACACACACACACACACACACCCCTGCACTCTCAAAATCAACTGAGGCACTGTCTCAGAATCTGAGGGGAAAGCAGAGGTTCAGACCCTAAAACTCCCTTTGCCCTCAGGCTGCCTCTTTCCTGTAGCCCCAGAAACTCGCTCCTGGCTCTGGGTGAGACCACAGTCTGCCCTGTGGATGCATTGAAATCAGCCCCCAGGAGGCTTTTTGCCCCAAGGGATGTCAGAGTTACAGAGCACCAGGCTTGGCTCTTCCTCGACCCCAGGTGCCAAGCAACAGTTGCCAACACTTCAAAGAGAACAAATATTTAATGATTCATCTCTCTCTCTGTCTCTCTGTCTCTGTCTCTGTCTTTCTGTCTGTCTCTCTGTCTCTGTCTCTCTCTCTGCCATTTGTGGGGGTTGAGGAGGGGAGAGGACATCCCATCTCTTTTTTGTTCGTTTCCTTTGGGAGCCAGACCTGGCAGTGCTAAGGAGTTCCTCCTGGCTCTGCACTCAGGAATCACTCCTGGCGGTGCTCGGGGGACCATATGGGATGCTGGGGATGGAACCCCGGTTGGCCTCGGGCAAGCAAGGCAAGCGCCCTCCCCGTGCTGAGCTATGGCTCCGGCCCCAGCATCCCAGCTCTTACACCGTCCCTCAGAGGATGTCAGTGTTCTCTGCTTAGTCATCTCCGGAATAACCAGGAATTTTGAAATCACATTCATTTTTATTGCTCCCTTCTTGCATTCTGTGAACACTGGCAGAAGAGTTTTTGCCAACCAAGTGATAACTCTCCCAGTTCTCCTTAGAGTATCCTAGAAGTCTCCGTGAGGGTGGGGGGGATGGCGCTTGTCCTTAACGATGCTCAAAGGACAGAAATGGGGTCTGTGAGCTTGGAGGTTGGTTTGACTTTATGGGTTTGTTTGCTTTTTGTTGGTTTTGTTTGTTGGGGGCCACACCCAGCAGTACTCAGGGCAAAGGTCTTTTTTTTTTTTTTTAAATCACTGTGAGATAGACACTTACAGAACTGTTAATGATTTGGGTTCAGTCAATACAGTATTCCAGCTCCCCTCCCTTCACCAGTGTACATTTCCCAGAACCAGTGTCCCCAGGTTCCCTTCTACCACCCCCTATGGTAGACACTTCTCTCTCTCTCTCTCTCTCTCTCTCTCTCTCTCTCTCTCTCTCTCTCTCTTTCCATTTCACTCTTTCTCTTTCCTTTCAGGCATTAAGATTTGCAGTGCAGGTACTGGACAAACTGGCAGGCTACCGAAAGTAACCTGCCCACACGGCAGAGTCTGGCGAACTCCCCGTGGCGTACCCAGTATGCCAAATACCAGTAACAATGATGGGTCTCATTCTCCTAATCCTGAAAGAGCCTGGAATGTGGCACTTTTTAAAAAATCTCAGGGCTAGGATGAAGGAGATGTTACTGGGGCCTGCTCGAGACAATTGACGAATAACAGGATGGTTGTGATCGTGATCGTCGTACTGAAAGGGTATCATGCATATCCCTTGAGCTCCTTTCAGCACTCAGTTCTTGTCCAGAGTGACCATCTCCAACTCTCATTGCCACTGTGGTCTCTTCTCTAACCTAACTGTCTCCCACCCCACCCCACCTCCACTTGTGGCAGCTTCCAACTGTGGACCAGTCCTCCTGGCCCAGACAGAGGTCATGTTTGAATTTGATTGTTCTCTAATCCTAAACAACATTGAGCCCAAAGGCTTTTTTTTTTTTTAAATCTAAGACTTTATGGTGTTGCAAATTCCATGGACTGGAGCACCAAGGTAGCTTCTGCATGCCCTCCCCCAACCCCCAATAAAACACATATTTAACTCACTAAATTCTCACAGGACCCTGGAAATTATCTGGGTGGGCCCAACAGTAGCTTCTGGTTGCTCACGTGATGTGGGGCACAGGAGACCAAGTGCCCGAGCCCCTGAGAGGCGGCAGAGGGTGGCCCTGCCCAGTGACTGGCCAGAGGCTGGCCCTGAGGCTCCCAGCTCATGCCAGCCCCTGGAGCCCTTGCACCACTCAGCGAGAAAGCACTAGAAGATGGTTCAGTGGTTAGGACACCGGGCCGCCACAGGGTCCTCACCACCCATGATTTAGGTAGGTCCCCAAGAATTGGGGGCAGGGTGAAGCAACAAGAAACAAGTCCTATGGCCTAAGTGATAGCACAGCGGATAAGGCAATTGCCTTGCATGCGTTGACCCAGATTCGATTCCCATGGCACCCCATATGTTCCCCTGAGCACCACCAGGAGCACAGAGCCAGGAGTAACCCCTGAGCACCACAGGGTGTGACCCTAAATCGAAAAAATAGGAAGAAAGAAGGCAGAAAGGAAGGGAGGGAGGGAGGAAGGAAGGAAGGAACCCATCAATGGGCTCCTTGCACCGACCCTCCCTCCCAGGCCGGGAATGGGGTGTCTGGGGGGGGGGCTGGTATTGTTCAGGCTCTACTCTTCCCCCCTCCCCCGCCCCCTCAGCCCCCAGGGTAACTTTTCCCCCACTCCCCGCTCTTCAACTGTGTCGTTGAAACGTGCAGGGGCTGTCGATGACCGCAGGGAGGGCGAGTGAGTCCAGGGGCCCGGACCGCCCGGTCTAGCTGAGACGCCTGGAGCGGCCGCGCGGGTTCCTAGGTCAGGTGCGTGTCCTGCCGCTGTGGAAGCTCCGCGTCTCAAAGCCAGTTTTCTCTGCGCAGCATTTTTTGTCCTCAAGAGAACACGGAAGAAGCCCTGCTGCTGCTGCTGATCAGTGAGTCCATGGTGAGTGCCCGGCCTCGCGGTCCCGAAGGTCCGGCCCTGCCCCCGTTATGCCTTCCTAATAATACAGATACACAGTCCAGGCCCTGAGCCTTTATCCTCGGGGGCGGGGAGCGGGGGATCCCGGAGATAAAAGCCCAGAAAGCAGGGCGGGGAAGCACTGGCCTTGCATGCCTGAGCACAGAGCCAGGAGTAGCCCTGAGCACAGCTGGCTACGATCCAAAGACATAAACAGAACCAACGCCCACCCCCACCCCCAAAGCCAGCCAGTGTTTCGGGAAGAGGGGCGTCTTCCTTCTCCGGGGAACTCGAAGCGTCCCCCGGCCAGCCTGGATCAGCAACTTCTCTTCTGTGACCACCAGCGTCTGAGTCCCCATGTTCCCCGGCCAAGTGTGGCTGCCGCAGGGAGGCGGTCGCCCCGGGAACCTTGGAAGGGGAAGTGCCCCCCTCCCCCCCAAAAAAAGGGCTGCCTTTGTGAATCGCCTGGACTACCTTGATGGGGGTTGTGGGGAGACCTGCTTGTCTTGTGAACCTCCTGCGAGCCTCGCTGGTCCGCTGTCCACCCGCCCCCCACCCCCAGGACAGCCAGGAGCAGGCCGAGTTTCTGCCACCCCATCAGATTCCTTTGCCATGTTTTCTCAGCTCCCCGCCAGGCTATCAGGTTTTCAGGCCACAATTTCCCTGCTCATCACTTTCTGGGTTTCTCCTGCCGGTCGCTCAGGCCTCGTGCCCGGGCCAAAGCTTTCTGGGGTTAGTGTGGGCTCTTGGGAAAGTGCCCACGTGCGTCCTGAGCCTCGGAGCTGGGGTGGCCCCAAAGGACCCCGTGGTGTCTCAGCGCCGGCACCCCTCTTCATGCAGGGGGAGCTAAGAGCACCTGCTTTGGGGGGGGCTGCTGAAGGGAGCCTCCCCCTCCCCGTCCCAGCTGTGACCCCCACCAGCGGGCCGGCAGGAGTGGCAGGAGGGGAGCCTGAGTCTGGAGGAGGACTCGGGGTCGCTCAGGGAAGTCGGGGGCGGGGCGTGGGGGTGAGAAGGGCCTGTGGCGTCTCTGTTCTCCGGGTGGCCCTGCTGGACGCTCAGGTTCCTGCTCCTTTTTCCTCAGAGGCCCTTTGACGTCAGTGGCCCCTTCCTCTGCACCGAGCCACTTGCCCCTGGCTCATCTGTCCACACTTGTCAGCTGGCAGCTTTGGCCGGTGCCAACACCCTCGTCTCTGCCCTGGCACAAGAGGGCGGGTGAACCGGCTGGCCACGGGTCCACCCTGCTCATCCCCAGCTCTGCAGGGTGTGTGTGTGTGTGTGTGCGTGTGTGAATGTATATATGTGAATGTGTATATATGTATGTGCGTGTGTGCATGTGCATGTGTGTGCATGTGTATGTGTGTTATGTGTATATATGTGTGTATGTGTGCATGTGTATATGTGTACGTGTCTGTATATATGTGTGTGCATGTATATGTGTGTATGTGTATATATGTATGTGCATGTGTGCATGTACATGTGTGTGCATGTGTATGTGTGTTATGTGTATATATGTGTATGTATGTGATGTGTATATGTGTATGTGTGTGTATGTGTATGTATGTGTATGTGTATGTAGGTGTACGTGTGTAAGTGTGGATATGTGTGTATGTGTGTATATGTGAGTGTATGTGTGTTCGTGTGTGTATGTGTGTATGTGTATGGGTGTGTGTATGTGTATATATGTGTGTATGTATGTGTACATGCGTCTGTATATGTGAGTGTATGTGTGTATATGTGTGTTCGTGTGAGTGTATGTATGTGTGTGTGCGTGCACACACACCAGAGCCGGGACTGGCATCCACGCGGCTCCTGGCCCTCACTGCATCTTCTCCCCCTGCTCAGTCCTTTTGGCAAACATGGTTAGTGGCCAAGTCAAACATTCTGAAGGCGAGGTGGCCTCGGGGTGGGGGGTCGATTTTTTGGGATGCTCCAGATTAAACATCCTCTATCCCCGTGGCCAGATCATGTGTCCCCCGGTTCAGAATTTGAAGCACGTGGGCACGTCGCTAAAATGCTGGCTCTGAGTGTGCATGCCCTGGGGGGTGCCGGCAGCCGCTCCCCTGCCCCTTCCTGGGAGTCACTCTCCGACGTGGGGCCCCCAGAGGGTGCGGCCCCAGAGTTGGCCTCTGTGAGCATGGCGGGCCCAAGTGGTTACATCCCCCCCTATAAATCATTCTGCAACTAGGCAGCTGAAAATCTAAATTAAGTTGCCTTTGGAAGCCTTTATTCCATGTCCCTAGGCCCTTTGATTTTCTTCGGTTTTTAGGCAGAAAATAAATGGACTCAATCTTGAATCAGAATGAGAATTGCTCTGAGAATTGTTCTGTGTGTGTGTGTGTGTGTGGGCGCGCGTGCACGCGCACGCTTATCTGAGAAAATTGTATTTTTTAATGGAGTTCTGACTTGACCTTAGAAGCATAATTTTTCCAGAGTCTCTTCGTTCAAGTCATTTGGCGTGGTATCGTTTTATCGGCATCAAATCAAATTAGCTTTGCCCAGAATAAAGGGGTTATCAGAATAATGCACAACTATGGCTAAGACAGCCTTCTGGCATGCTTAATATTCTGCGGGACTGTTTGAGAATCTGTATTATTATTATTTTTTTAGATACAGAGAGACTTTCTCAAAAAAAATAAAAAAGCAGGGCTCAGAGCAGTAGTGCAGTAGGTGGGGCACTTGCCTTGCCTGTGACTGACCTGGGCTGGATCCCTGAGCCCACCAGGAATTCCAGAGTGCAGAGCCAGGACTAAGCCCTGAGCACCACCAGCTGTGACCCAGAACCAAAATGAAATGAACTTTAAAAAAAAAAACCACCTTCAAAATAACACTTTTTTAAAAAGGAATGCATTTATTATAACTTGAAAGTCTCACAAGTAGTATTTTGTTTGGTTTCCTTCCAGGCAGGGGTCTCTGTTTAGTGTCGAGCCCCTGCTGGACAGGTCCCTGTGACAGGGCCGTGGCTGGTGCAGAGGCTTCCTCAAGGCCGGCAGCGTGCAGGGATGGAGGCGTGAGGACGGGCTCGTTTCCCTGAGTCCCTCTGTAGGGAAGGGCCTGCCTTGCATAGTCTTCCTTGACTTTGGCATTTCAGCCGACAGCAAAGGCCCTGGACTCACTGGGGATGCTGCTGGCCGCTCTCAGAGAGATAATGGAGGTCCCCACCCGCTGCAAGTCTCAGTGCAATGACGCCCCTTCCCCCACCTTGCTCAGGCGCCGCCCACCCAGCCCTCTGCTTCCCACCTTCTCGGGGACCAAACTACTGAACGGTTCAGGAACTTGTCCTGAGTCTGACTCCAGATAGGTCTGGAGGATCAGGGGAGACTCCACAGGGGAGACCCCCGGAGGGGCCTGTGGAAGACTCTGGTGTCTACCCTACTCTGCAGTCCTTCCTAGGCCATCAGCCAGGTGTCTGGGAAGGGCTCAGGGATGTGGGGTCTTCCCTTCCCCTCCGTCTAATAAAGGATGGCACCCCGAGGCACTGCCTTTCTTTGGGGCCCGTGCTCAGCCCCAACCCTCGTTGGCTGACTTTGGCTGATGGAGTCCCCGAGCCTGTTTTTATATCCACACTCAGACCCGCGTGGGGCCCACAAAGGGGCCGCACGTGCCTCTCACACCCTGTGTTGGGCCCCAAGGCTGCCGTCAGAATCCAGGTGCCTTTACCCTGTGTCGTGGCTGTCACCGCTCTCTGGCCAGTCACCCTCCGGAGCTTCCCACCGAGCGTCACAGTATGGTTTGCAGAGGACCAGTGACCCTCCCTGGAAAGAAAGCCCCCCCACCCCCACCCCTCCCTGCCCTGGGCCTCCAGGGCCAGGAAGAGCCATTAGCCATTAGCAAGGAGAAGGACCGGTAATGCGGCCTTCCCTGATCCTGGACTCCTCCGAGGGAGAAGAGACAGCCAGTACTGTGTCTCAAAGAATCTGCAGAGAAACCCAGTTTCCAAAGGCACAGAATGCACCATCGTGGAGAGCGCTTGCCCACCAGCAGTGGAGGCCAGTGAGCCCGCACATGGTGGCCTCCAGTCCTTTGTGGCCATGTCTTCCCCAACCCAGAGCTGCCCCCTGCGGCCTCTGCCTCCTGAAACCAGCCTGGCCTAGGGTCATGGGCAGGCACCCAGCCCCATGCAGGGGAGGCATGGGTAGGGGCCTTCCCCCCCAGGGGAGGCCCCCCAGATCGCCCCTGGCGCCCTAGAGCAGAGCTGTGTGAACCAGGCTCAGCACAAGTGCTGCGTCTCCGTGGCCACCACGAGGACAGTTGTGCATGGCCCCACTCGGGGATGGTGCTGGGGGCTGTGGGGTCTTCCACAGACGACACCCCAGGCGACAAGCCACTTCCTCAGACACACAGCAAGCTACTAGGGCCAAGGGTGGGGCCGGGTTGGTGGGGCGGGGGTGTCAGGGGGCTCCACTGCTGCTCGGCTCCATATGACAGCCCTGGCCACGGGCCTGCTGACACCTGCCCTCTCTCTCTCTCTCCCTCCCACTCTGCTGTCCCTCCCTCTCCATCCCTCTCCTCCTCCCTGTCTCTCTCTCCATTCCTCTTTCTTCCTCTTTCTCCCTTTCTGCCTCTCTCACTCCTCTTCTCTCTTTCCTCTCTCCCTCTCTCTGTCTCCCTCTGTGTCTCTGACTTTCTCTTTCTCTCTTTCTTTTCTCTGTCTCTCCTCTCTTTCCTCTCTGTCTCTCTCCCTCTCTCCCCAATTCTCTGTTGCTTCTCTCTCTCCCTCTTTGTCTGTTTCTGTGTCTCCCTTCCTGTCTCTTCCTCTCTCTGCCTCCCTCTGTCTCTCTGTCTCTTCCTCTTTCTCTATCTCCTTCTTTCTCTCCCTCTCTCTCTGTCTCTCCCTCTTTCTGTCTCTGTTTCTATCTCCCTTCCTGTCTTCCTCTGTCTCTCTGTCTCTCTGTCTCTTTCTCTCTCTCTCTATCTCTTCCTCTCTCTCTCTCCCTCTCTGTCTCTGTCTCTCCCTCTTTCTGTCTCTGTTTCTATCTCCCTTTCTGTCTCTTCCTCTCTCTGACTCCCTCTGTCTCTCTCTGTCTCTTCTTCTCTCTCTCTCCCTTCCCCCCTCTCTCTCTCCCTCTCTGTCTGTCTCTGTCTCTCTGTCTGTCTCTTTCCCTCTCTTTCTCTGTCTCCCCAACTCCAACCCTCCCCCCCACCACCACCAGGCCAACCGGGACGCGGTGCTGAGCCGCATCCCCGAGCACCGGGACGACCGCCTCATCAGCCTGCAGAGCGCCTCGGTGGTGTACGACTTGCTGACCATCGCCCTGGGGAGGAGAGGCCAGTACGAGATGCTGTCGGAGGTGCGTGCTCCCGGGTGGGTGACCGTCAGGCGTGGGCGGGGCGTCCCCGTGGCCCTGTCGCCCGACCTGGCCTCTCACTTCCTGCTTCTTGGAAATGGGAGGGGAGGCTCTGTGGTGGTGGGCACGGTCAGCAGTGTGCGTGCCAGAGAGGACCTGAGTTTCTCCCGTACCCCTTCTCCCTGGCACCCCCAGCTCCTGCCAGGCCATGTGACTCGCCGTGTAGATCAGGGCTGCGTGGCATGAGAGTCTTGGGGGGTCTCTGGCCGGCTCGGACGAGACCCGAAGAGTCCAGATCCCTGTGCGGTCCAGGTGTTGGATCCCCTTTGCCGCCAAGTGGACTGTCTGTCTCTTTCTGTGTGTCCGTGCGGGAGGCAGCCACCTGGGGCAGGAGGTGGCGGGGGAGGAGGGTGACTAGCAGCCCGCGTGTGGCCCGTGTGCTGGGGCTCTGTCCCCTGGGCAGTGGGGGTCCTCCCCAAGGGGCGTCCTGTTCCCAGTCAGTGTGGGCAGGGGCTTCTCCCAGTCTCTGCCCCAGGTCACGCAGCGGCCTGCAGCTTCGGGGGTCCTTGTTTCCCGCAGCCCTCTCTCCTTGAGGCGCATTCTGGGGACCCCGGGAGAGTTCTAACCGCGGCTCTTCCGCCTGACCCACGGGGCAGCTGAGCCGGCCAGCGGGTACATTGCTGAGCCTGGTCCAGGAGTCTCCTCGGTCCATACCAGTGGGAGGGGGCTTGGGGGGGAAGGCAGGGGTCCGCAGGGGTGACAGGCCGGGTGACATCTGCGCTCTTCTGCCTGTCGGCTTCTCATGCCCCATGATGGACTCTGTCTCCCCCGAGGCCTCTGCCGGCTGGCTGGTAGCCCCGGCTGGCGAGAGCTTCCCTAGACCCGGCGCCCGGGACCGTGTTGTCACCCAGGCGCCTCCCGTCCTGGGGTCACGTGGAGTCCCCACTCTGGGCTGGTGACCCGAGCAGGCCCAGGCTCCTCAGAGCCTTCTGCTGTGTGTGCGGGGCTGAGCTTCAGATGACATGGGTTCCAGGAAAACCCTGAGGATGGAAGGCTCCGAGCGGGGTCACCTGACGCCCAAGTGTCCATTCAGGAGGCAAGTGGGTCTCTCTCCCAGCTCTGGCGACAGTTGGGAGTCTGACTCCTGAGCATTGCCCAGTGTGACCCCCAAATTGAGAGAATCACACCAGCTGGTGGCCACAGGACAGGCACGCAGTGACCGCCTGGACCCTAGGATGCTTCCACCAGCCGGAAGTCCTTCCCCCCTTCCCTGCCCCTCCCCCCCCCCCGCCCCTGTCAGCAGCTCATCTGCTCTGGGTAGGGCATTTGCCTTGCACGCGGCCAACCCAGGTTCAATTCCCAGCATCCCATATGGTTCCCCCGAGCACCACCAGGAGTAATTTCTGAGTGCAGAGCCAGGAGTGACCCCTGTGCATTGCTGGGTGTGTGTGACCCAAAAAGCAAAAAAAAAAAAAAAAAGATTAATGGTCAGTGGGGGGTGGGGGGTGGGGTGGGGAATGCAGGTGCCAGTCTCAGCTGGGGCCCGTCTGCGGGTTGGGCCTGACCTCACCCTGGGAGACTCAGCCCCTCTCACGGCCATGAAAGCTGCCTGAGGCCCTGTGAATATTTCCAGATTTTCCCTTCACCTCCAACACAAACTCCATGCTCAGGAAGTTCCCCAGGCATCCAGCCCCATGCCCGTGTCCTGCCCTATCGCTTTGCTGGCTCTGGGTGCATCTCGGGAGTCGTGCCACGCGTGCTTCTGCCGAGCTCGGCGCCTCCGGCTGACGGTTGGCCGGGCTCAGTCACGCGCGAGTACAGAGAACAGACCCGGGGCCAGGCCCACAGCACACCATCTGCCATCTGCCACTGCTGAGGCGCCGGCAGCCGTGTGACTTGTTTCCACCCGGGCTGGCACCCGGGCACCAGCTGCAGCGGGCGCTGGCCTCCCTGCCTCTGGCTTCCTGTTTTCCACTCAGTTCTGGACCTCGTCTTGGGGGGTCGTGAGGCTGGGCGAGAGGGCGTGCGTCCGATGAACAGAGGGGCTCAGCTCACCCACGGGGGTCGCGCACTCCACTCCCTTCCTGTCTGGGTAGCAGGAAAGATTCAGCACCGTCAGCCTCTGCCAGCTGTCGTCTCTCTTGGCCACACACAAGGCCAAATAGCAGTGTTGAAGACGGCCGGCCATGGGGTAGGCCTGATTCTCCCCTTCCTTCTGTCTCAGCTTTTCTGAGAAGGAGAATAGATACCATGTGTCTTAGATTTGAAAAACTTAATTGTCAAAACCCCAGTTACTTTGTAGGTAGAATGGGAGATAAAAGTTTCCACAGGATTTTCATTGGAGAAATTCACACTCTTTTTTTTTAAAAAAAATTTCATTCTATGTATTTTATTTTTTGTAAAGTTGTTCATCGTAGTTCATTACAGATAATATTCAGACACCAACCCTACCACCGTGTACCTTCCCGCCACCCCAAGAGGAGAGTGTGTGAAGATTGTTGTGTTTCATCTTGGAGCCATTTAAGCTCTTGTAGAAGAGGTTACAAGCATCTGTGTTTAACCCAGACAAATGTGTGCTACTTTTGGTACATCAGTGGGCTAGAGTATAAGAGGTTTTGCTACCATGTGGGCTGGAGCAATAGCACAGCGGGTAGGGCGTTCGCCTTACAAGCGGCCAACATGGCCGACCCGAGTTCGATTCCTCCGCCCCTCTCGGAGAGCCCGGCAAGCTACCGAGAGTATTCGATATGCCAGACACAGTAACAACAAAGTCTCCAATGGAGACGTTACTGGGCCCGCTCGAGCAAATCGACGATCAACGGGAGGGCCTTTACCTTACCTTACCTTACCTGTGTTCCAGGACGTTCTGTGTTGCTCTCTTTTGGGAGCTTTAATTTATAGTCTCTGGGTCTTGCTCATTGATAAGATTATATGGCCTGGAGACAGTTTGTGAATGTGACTGCCAAGCTACTGGAAAACTGGGGAGCTGGGGGGAGGAGTCCCAGTCCTGTTCCAAGCGAGCTTGGAGATCTTAGTCACGGGTCCCACATACCTGGGTTTTTCTGCAGGTTCCCTCAAAGGTGAAGCTTGTCCAAGTGAGTGGAGTGTTCTTGAGCATGGCTGAGGTTGAGTGCTGGAGGTTTTCAGCTGCCGGGGTTCTGTTTGGGGCAGGGAGGGAAATTCAATCTGCCCCCCTCCAAGTTGCCCCAGTGAAGATAGACTGGCCGGGTCAGGGAAATTCACACTCTTAAGTAGCACTGTAGCACTGTCCTCCCATTGTTCATCGATTTGCTCGAGTGGGTACCAGTAACGTCTCTATTGTGAGACTTCTTATTACTGTTTTTGGCATATAGAGTACATCACGGGTAGCTTGCCAGGCTTTGCTGTGTGGGCATGATACTCTCGGTAGCTTCCCAGGCTCTCTGAGAAAGGCGGAGGAATCAAACCGGGGTCAGCCCGGGTCAGCCTCGTGCAAGACAAACTCCCTACCTGCTTAAGTCAGTACTTTCTTTTTTTTTTTTTTTTTTTTTGGTAATACAGGTCTGTTTGTGGGAAGCATGGGATTCATTTGGGGACAGATCACATTTTGCTTAATTTGTGTTCCAAGTATTTTTCTCACAGCTCCACTGATAGCAGATAATAATGATAATAAACCATAATGTTCATACACAAAACAGTTTTTAGCTCTGGGGCTGCGGAAAGATGGGCCCCTGGTTTGAGGATCTCTCCACACCTTCAGATTCTTTGCATTTCTCTGCACTCCCCGTAGCACCTTATGGTCTGTCCATGCTCCCCCGTCCCCGCCAAAGGGTCTGAGAGCCACCTCCATCCAGCCCTTGGTGAGCGCTGTTTCATTTTCCGCTCCTCTGGCCTGGAGCAACGGCACAGTGGGTAGGGCTTTTGCCTTGCACACGGCCAACCTGGATGACCTGGGTTCGATTCCTCTGCCCCCCTCAGAGAGCCCAGCAAGCTACCGAGAGTACCGCTCCCGCACGGCAAAGCCTGGCAAGCTCCCTGTGACGGATTCGATATGCCAAACACAGCAACAACAAGCCTCACAATGGAGACGTTACTTGGCCCGCTTGAGCAAATCGATGAACAACTGGAGGACAGTGGACAGTGCCTCTGGACCACACACCTTGGCTCCTTCTGTCCCTTCCTTTGCCCCTAGGCCCCTGGCCTCCTCTTCTGGGTGTGAGGGCTGGACAGTTGCCTGTAGGGCTGAACCCTGGCCTTCTGAGTCTGAGCAGAGACAGAACACAAGCAGAGACAGAACACAGACCCCGCAGGGCAGGCAGGAGAGGGCCTGGACACCATGCCTTGAGTTCAGCGTTTCCTTTCATCGGAGGCAGGAAGAGCCGCGTTCCCGCCGGCAGCCGGCAGAGGGAGCAGCAGCGTCTCCACCTGCCAGAGCCCCGGAGCTGCCCTCACACTTGCCCAGCTTGCTCAGAGGGTGGCACCCAGATGCGGCCTGTGGGAGCCTGCCCCCCCACCCCAGCTGTAGTGGCGGCCTTCCACGCCAGCAACTGCCACGGTGCCAAAGCACAGGGCAGCCCTTGGCTCTGAGGGGGTCACTGTCCTAAGGCGGGAAGAGACAAGGGGAGGGAACATGCCATGGAACTGGCCCTCTGGCAGGTCCTGGTTCAGGGGAGCTCCCCAGACCAAGCTCTGGCGGGGGTCAGACTCCCTTGAACTAAGCTCACCTTCCCGCCCTTCCTAGATGTTGCCAGAATCCATTTCCCTAACTCGCTTTCACCTGAGCCTCACAGTTTCAGTTAATGGGGAATTGAGGGCTCTGAGCTGAGAGTCCTAGGGTAAGTCTGTTGCCCTGTGACCCTGACAACCTCAGTTCCCCGCCGCCCCCCCCCCCCCTGTCAGGTAGGAGGGGTCTAGATCGACTCAGGTCTCCAAACACGCACTGAGGTTTCCCTGCTGTCAGACTCTCCCAGGGTCTGAGTTACTCAGTTTCCCCACCTTGAAAGTAAACATGCCACAGCATTATCTCTCTGAAGCATGTCAACAATCACAAATCACAAATCATCCTGTTAATCGTCGATTGCCTCGAGCAGGCCCCAGTAACGTCTCCTTCATCCTAGCCCTGAGATTATATTCAAGGCTCCTTAGGAGAATGAGACCCATCATTGTTACTGGTATTTGGCATATTTGGTACGCCACGGGAAGTTTGCCAGACTCTGCCCTGTGGGCAGGCTACATTCGATAGCCTGCAAGTTTGTCCAAAGTAGGAATGAGATAATAAGATGTCATAATAAGATGTCATGCGGCCGCGCGGTTCCGGAAGCTGGTTTTTATAGTCTCTGAGTCTTGGCCGCTGATGGGATGCATGTCAACAAACAAACAAACAAAATAACAAACACAGCTGCAGAACTACAAGGAATCACACCTGAAACTGCCCTTGTTATGAACATAAGCCGTAGGAGAAACGTTCCTAGCCTATGGAGGCACTGTGTCAGGGCAGCGGGGCCTGAGGGTGAGAAGGAAGCTGATGCTTGGTGCTCTCTGGACTGCAGACAAACTCCTGGCAGGAGGGGTATCTGCTCCTGTGACCCCTGACCCCTACCCCTGTGAGTTTGGGTCTATTGAACTCATAGACTCCCAAAACAGACCCCAACTCCTTCGTGTGGTGGGACTGTGCAGCTCTCTGCTGTGGCCTGGCGTGTGCCACCCGGCTCCACCTGCCAGCATGATGGTTGCCGAATCCTCCCGTGGTGCCCTTTCACCCCCATGTGTCAACCGCACCAGGGCTGCGCTGAGGTGAGGGGGTGAAGGGTAGCCTCTGAGCATGAGGGGGATCTGAGGTGATGTAAGTATAAGTGAGTGTGAGGTGAATCTGAGGTGAATGTGAGGTGAATAGTGAGGCAAGAATGAAGCAAGTATGAAGCTAGCGTAAGAGGAATACAGGGTGAGTGTGGTACATGTGAGGCAAGTTTGGGTGAGTATAAGGTGAGTGTGGGGCAAATATGAGGGGAGTGTAGGGAAGTGTGGGGCGTGGGGTGACTGAGGTGAGTATGGGGTGAGTGTGAGGCGATAATGGGATGAGCATGGGGCAAGTGGGGTGAGTTTAGGGTAAGTGTGGGGCAAGTCTGAGGTGAGTGAAGTGAGTATGGGGTGAGTGTGAGGTGAGTGTAGGGTGTAGGGCGAGTGTGAGGTGAGTAGGGCGAGTGTGAAGTGAGTCTGAGGGTGGCCGAGGTTAGTGTGGTGAGTGGGGTGAGTGTGAGGGGATGAGGTGAGTGTAGGGCTAGTGTGAGGTGAGTGAGTTGTGGGGTGAGTGTGGTTAAGTGTGAGATGATAAATGGGGCGAGTGTGAGGTGAGTATGAGAGTGCGGTGAGTGTGGGGTGAGTGTGGGGCAAGTGTGAGATGAGTATGAGAGTGCGGTGAGTGTGGGGCGAGTGTGAGGTGAATATGGGGTGAGTGTGGGGCAAGTGTGAGGTGAGTATGGAGTGTGGGGCGAGTGTGAGGTAAATGGGGGGCAAGTGTAAGGTGAGTGTGAGGTGTAAGGTGAGTGGGGTGAGTTTAGGGTGAGTGTGAGGTGAGTATGGGGTGAGTGAGGTGAGTGTGGGTGAGTGTGAGGTGAGTGTGAGAGTGCGGTGAGTGTGGGGCGAGTGTGAGGTAAATATGGGGTGAGTGTGAGGTGAGTGTGGAGTGTGGGGGGAATGTGAGGTAAATGGGGGGCAAGTGTAAGTTGAGTGTGGGGTGAGTGTGAGGTGTGACGTGAGCGTGGGATATGCGGTGAGTATGAGGTGAGTGTGGGGTGAGTATGAGGTGAGTGTGGGGGAGTGTGAGGTGAGTGTGGGATGTGGGGTGAGTGTGAGGTGAGTGTGGGGTGAGTGGGGTGTGGGGTGAGTGTGAAGTAAGTGTGAGGTGAGTGTGGGATGTCGGGTGAGTGTGGGGCGAGTGTGGGGCGAGTGTGAGGTGAGTGTGGGCAAGTGTGAGGTGAGTGTGGGGCGAGTGTGAGGTGAGTGTGAGGGTGTGGGGCAAATGTGGGGCAAATGAGTGTGGCTCTGCACTGGCCTGAGGAAACCCAGAAGCCTCCTCCCCAGCAGCTGGTCCTTGATTCAGAGCAGACCGTGTCAGCCACTGAGCGCCTGTAGCTCACCAGGGAACAGTTGAAACTCACCATTGGCCTTAGCTAAAGGAGGAAGCGCCGCGCTGAAACACTGAAGCGTTTCTGCGTATGCTTAAGTCCTTGGCTGCACTGCCATGACTCACGGAGTCGAGTCATCAGAACAGACCTCATGCGGGTCTTTGCGCCCCATGTCACACGTCCTTCCTCTCAGGGCCCTGCACACCCACATTGTACCTCCCCGGATCCAGGAGCCCCTGTGAGCTGCCTGACATCACGGTTCAGCATATTTTTGTGAGGTTTTCCCTTTCCCATGTAACACAGTATCTATCCTCCATCTCTCTGTAAGGACCACCGAAAGTTCTGGAATTCTTTTCTCTCCCCCCTGCTTGTTTCCCTTCCAGTTTATTCCCGCCTCTGTGGCCTTCTAGTTAGTCCCTCTAGAACTCTTGGCCCTTTCCTCGCCATCCCCAGGCCCTGCCTGTGGCTTCCCCAGAACACGCTTCTGAGGTGACCTGATCTCCTCCCAAGCCCTTTCTCCCGAGTGTCCTTTCTCCCTGTGGTCACGGGTCTGATTTGTGCGACGTCCATCTTGGCTATCTGTGCCTGGCATATTGGATCCATTTCTAATAGGCTGCAGCTATTCCCTCGACCATCTCTGGCGTCCTTCCTCCTCAAACTGAAACTGTCCCCGTGAAGGGACACGTGCCCCCAGCCCTTGACACCCACCATTCATCTCCCTGTGACTTTAAATACTCTCAGGAGCTCTGAAGTGGAACCCGACTATATTGATCTTTCCTCCGCTGCTTTATTTCAATGACACCGTTTCCTTGGGCTTGGTTCATCCGTGTTGTAGCAAGGGTCAGGGCATCCAGCCCATTAAGACAGGGTGCTATTCCATGCATGGGCTGACCAACTTTGTGTCTCGGTTTCTTGACTGACAAACACTGGTGGCTGCCCTGTTTGGGGCTCGTGAGCGATGCCCCAGTGGCTGGGGGTGTGGGTACCTGAGCCCCCGCTTTCCAGCCTGCAGGGAGTGGGGGTGTCTTTGTGCCAGCATCATGCTGTTTTGAATAACGGTGGCTCTGTGGTATGCACGAAACCAGAACATGTGAGGCCTCCGGCTTCATTTCTCTTCAAGATTGTCCCTAGGGGTTCTGTATACATTTTAGGATGTGTCTTTGCTATTTCTGCTATTAAAAAAATTTTTTAAATGTTACCGAGGGGCTGAAGCAATAGCACAGCAGGTAGGGCATTTGCCTTGCATGCAGTCAACCCGGGTTCGATTCCCAGCATCCCATATGGTCCCCTGAGTACCGCCAGGAGTAATTCCTGAGTGCAGAGCCAGGAGTAACCCCTGTGCATCGCCAGGGTGTGACCCCCCCTCTCAAAAAAATGCTACTGGGGTTTCAAGAGGGACCGTGCTGAATGGTTGTGGCTGGTCCCGCCAGAGCCTGTGTCTGTGTCTCTCCGTGTCATATTCCAGCTCAGATACTCAGACCTGCCCCTCGTCGACCCCCCAGGCGCTTCAGAATCACGTTCCTTCCACATCAGGGTCACCAATGAGACACCTCTCTGCCACATCCGCTTGGGTCCTTCTCTCTCTGCCTGGCAGGGGCAGACACATGTGGAAGAGATGGGGAAGGGTTGTTGGGTGGGGGCTGGGGGAGGGTCCTGTCACCTCTGTTTTGGTTTTTCATTTTTTTTTTTTTTACTCATACCCGGTGATGCTCAGAGGTTTCTCCTGGCTCTGCACTCAGGAATTACTCCCGGCGGTACTCAGGGGACCATATGGGATGCTGGGAATTGAACCCAGATTCTACCTGCTGTCCTATCGCTCTGGCCCCAGTGTACCTTGGCAGCCAGCCCCGCGTCCCTTGGTGCCCTTGCCCTGTGCGCGTGCATGTCTGTGCCTTGGTCCTGATCACCTGGAACATGTCCCGCGTCTCTCCCTCAGGCCTCCCATCGGCCCCTCCCCCAGCCCATTCCTACCTTCCTACCGTTGTCTCTGCATGCTGGTAGGAAAGAGAGTTTCTCAGAACGGGCCCGCCGAGGACGGGAAGGGGTGGGGGCAGCCAGTGGCCTGGGCCTGGCACATAGCACAGCTGGGGCCCAGGAGGGTGAGAGGCTCATGTCAGAGCTTGGCCGGCCATGGCGCCCACCTGTGCCTGCTTCCCCCAGGCCCAATTCCCACCCGGGTGTCCCCGGCCAGCTGTCCACTAGGCACAGCCAAGCCAAGGCTCCGCCTAGGGGGCCCCCATGACTTTGTTCCTGCCCCCTCCCCCAGGGGAGCCGAGTTCCTGCCTCCTGGTGTCCCTTTCCCGGGATGCTCTGTCCAGCCCCGGGGCCCCTTGTCCTGTGGGCCTGGCCCTGGCCTCGGCTGTGCCTCCCTCCAGTCACGGGAGGAAGAGCGTCTGGGGGGTCAGGCCCAGGATTCTGTGAAGGAGCGTGATGCTGGCCCCTGCCCTCGCACCCTGGGGCGGCGGGGTTCCCCCGGAGGGGGAAGTGGGCAGAGGGATTCACGGCCCCGGGGCGCTCTCGGACGCCTGCCTTTGCCCTTCCTTTCAGTGCCTGGAGAGAGCCATGAAGTTTGCCTTTGAGGAGTTCCACCTCTGGTACCAGTTCGCGCTGTCCCTCATGGCGGCTGGAAAAGTGAGTGACCTCTTGTGGGGAGCCCATGTGTTGTCCATCCGTCCCCTCCCCCACATCCCAGTTCCTCTTGGGCGTTCAAGGGCGACCCGTCCCATGTACACATGTCAACCAACCACCCAGTACTATCTGTGCCCTGAACAAAACCAACAATTTGGTGCAGTTACAGGGAGGGGGCAGGGGCAAATGTACCCCAAGACGGGAGCCCTGAGTGCTTGGCCTTTCCCTGGCCCTTGTAGAAGCTTCGGACATGGCACCCACATTCCCTCTTGGCTGAGAGTGGAAGCTGTTCCCGGTCAGGGAGGTTCTGGGGAGTGGACCCAGGGCCTCAGATGTGCGAACCCTACCCCCAGCCCCGGGGCTAAAGGAGGGTCTCTGCAGGAAACACAGGTAGCTGAGTTGCTGGTCACGGTGGGCCTGCAGGCCCTGGCCAGTGTTGGTCAGGAGCCTGGGCTGTGGAGTGGACCTGGGGACTGCCCAGGACACTCATAGGAGGTCAGCTTCCTTGGCACACACACGCTCACACTTACACACACACATGCTCTCTCTCTCCCACACACACACACACACACTCTCTCTCTCTCTCTCTCTCTCTTTCTCACACATACACACACACATACACACTGCACAGAAGTGCTAGCAGGTGGGCGCAGTCATACCACCCCTCTGAGCTGGTGGCCGCTGATCCTCCTGTCCTCTGGGGTTCTTCCGGTTGAGGAAGGAGCCAAGTGTTTACTTCACTGTGCTCTGAACTGGGGCTTCGGGTGTTCACAATGACACGAGGCTCCGTGGGCCCAAGAGATAGTGCAGGGGGGCGGTGCATGGCCTTGTGCTTATGCCCCCGCCCCAGACATGGCCAGGAGTGACCCCTGAGCACAGAGGCAGGAGAAGCCCTCACGCACCCTTGGCCGTGGGCCCATACCCTCCACGCTTCACCCCGCATCAAACAGCCGCCACTGACTTGCCGTTCTCATTTTCCTGACGTTATACAAGTTGGGGTGGAAGGTGGTGATTCCAGGGAGGTGCTTTTACTTGTTTTCATTTGTTTTTTTTTTTTTGTTTTTTTGGGTTTTTTTTTTTGTTTTTTTTGTGGGTTTTTTTGGTAGGGGAGCCCTGGAGTGATAGCACAGCGGGTAGAGTGTCTGCCTTGCATGTCGCCAACCTGGGTTTGATTCCTCAGCCCCTCTTGGAGAGCCCAGCAAGCTACCAAGAGTATCCCGCCCGCACGGCAAGGCCTGGCAAGCTCCCTGTGACGTATTCGATATGCCAAACACATTAACAACAAGTCTCACAGTTTGCTGTGAGACGTTACTGGTGCCCGCTCGAGCAAATCGATGAGCAATGGGAGGACAGGGCTACAGACAGTGCTACAGTGGGGTGCACATATGGCAGTGCTCAAGGCTTATTCCTGAGTGTGCTCAGGGATCACTTCCGGAGGACTCGGGGGACCGTATAAGGATGCCGGGGACCAGACCCAGGTGGGCCGCGTGCCAGCCAGCCCCCTCCCCGCTGCCCTGTCGCTCTGGCCTCCCCAATCTCCCCTCACTCTCCGAGCATTCCCCAGCCCTGGGCAGCCCCACGTGCTCTGGGGCAGCTGGGCCAGCTCACAGGTTCTCTCCCCACAGTCCGCGCGGGCCGTGAAGGTGCTGAAGGAATGCATCCGCCTGAAGCCCGACGACGCCACCATCCCGCTCCTGGCCGCCAAGCTGTGCATGGGCTCCCTGCACTGGGTGAGTCCGGGCGGGGGCGGCCGGGCCAGGGCAGCCCCCCAGGCCTCCGGAGGCGGGGGGTGGGGTTGAGGGGACACACACAGGCGGATCGTGGGAGCACAGCCCCATCTCCAGTGCAGTGAAAAGGTGACATGGGAATCCTTGACTAAATCCATCTACTTCGTGCAAGAAACAGGGTCCTGAGAGGGCCCGTGTCTCACACACACACACACACACACACACACACACACGGATCCACACGGAGCAGAGCCTGACTTTTCCCGCCAAATGCAGAACCCCCGCTCAGTCGTGTGGTGACCCGACTCTTTACCGTCTTCTTCACAGAGTCTGGTTCAGACGCAGGATTGGCACTAGCCCCACAGAACACCTCAGAGGAAAAAACCCGTGGGTGGGACTCACTGAGGGGGACGGTGGCGGCGCTGGGCCCAGGTCACCACCACCGCCGGCTGGGGGGCTCTGGTTTCCCTCGGCCAAGAATGGAAGGCCCGAGTGGGGGCCCAAGCAACAGTAGAGTGGGTGGGTGTTTGCCTTGCACACGGGCCAGCCTGGGTTTCGATCCCTGGCATCCTATATGGTCCCCGGAGCACTGCCAGGAGCAATCCCTGAGTTCAGAGCCAGCGGTAACCCCTGAGCAACGCAGGGTGTGACCTCCTCCAAAAAAAAAGGAATTTGCTCAGAATTCTGGGGCGGCCAGCTAAGGTTGGCGCCTCTGCCCCATGCTGGCCTTTCCTGTTTGTCTTTTCCCCATTTATTCTCGCTCAGCGGGACAAAAGTGAGCCTCGGTGGAGGCTGTGTTCTGCTCTCGTTACATTTCGCTTGAGGAAATGTAGAGAAAAGAAAAAAAAAAACAAAAAAACCTTTGCAAGAGCCGCACACCTCCACCTCACCACCACACACCCCCTCCCCCCAGAAAAACAAGCCGAGCCACAGCCTGCTGCCCTGGCAGGTGTGGGCCGCTGGGGGCCGCAGACAAGAGAGCAGCGGGTGCAGGCGTGGGCAGGGGCGCCCACCAGCCCTTTCCAACCAGGCAACGCCCGTTTCCAGCTGCGCAAGAGGGCTGCCCCCAGGCCCTGGGAGGTGTGGTTGTGGGGTGCTGAGTCAGGAGCCAAGGGAGGTGGGTCTGCTCTGTGTATACAGGAGAGCCTGCGTGTGTGTGTGTGTGTGTGTGTGTGTGTGTGTGTGTGTGTGTTTCACATCCTTGCTACAACTTCCCGAAGCCCAGAAGTAAAGAGGTGTTGGCGGCCCGAGGATTGCCCCCCCTGCCACCACCCCTTCCCCCCCGCCAGCTCCAGTGACACCGCCATTTGCCATCCTCTGCAGGCATAGATCTTATTTTTGCCTCTAATGAATTGTGCAAAAGGGCTCCTGGTGGGCGGCAGGTACACAGGTGCACATGCGCTCCCGGGAATCTGTCGGCGTGAGGCCCATGTGCTGTCTTGGAAAAAAATAAAGAGACGGAGCTTTTGGAAGTTGGGACAGCTGGTAGGAAAGAGGATCCCGGCCCAGATGAATGTTGGATGTCCTGCAGGGGGTGGGGGGCGGGAGGAAGCCCCAAAGCATAGCACATTCCAGGCTCTATTACTCACACGGCCCTTCTGCGTGTGTCTGCGGGCTCCACCGTTCCCCATCCCAGTCCCTGCATTAAACTCACTGCAGAAACAGCCTGTTGGAAAGGAGAACAGAGACGAGGGGGCGGAAGTAACACCCAACCCCCAAGTCTGAGAGTGAGTCTGGGAGGTGGGCAACGAGCTTGAGTGGGCAGCTGGGCCCGAGGTCTATAGAGTCGAGCCGGGCACGGAGATGAGGGTCGAGGTAGCAGTGATCAGGAGGAAGGTTCGGGAGCTGTTTCCACGGTGACTCATCAGAACCCATCCTTGGCTTGGCCGCGGGTGCTCCTGGGCGCTGGGCTGAAGTGCCCGGCCTCTGTTGTCTCTCTGACTCGCTGCCTTTCAGTTGGAAGAGGCCGAGAAGTTTGCCAAAACCGTCGTGGATGCAGGCGAGAAAGCATCAGAGTTCAAGGCCAAAGGCTACTTGGCGCTGGGCCTCACGTACAGCCTGCAGGCCACGGACGGTGAGTCCCCCAGCTCCCTCTGCCCTCGGTCGGGTCCTTCCGGTGCCCCAGGGGTCCCCGTGCTGCCATCCTCGTGGTTTCAGATGTTGGTGAGTGCTGGGAAGAAAGAGATGCAGACCTGGGCTCAGTCTGTCCTCCTCACCGCACGGGCATCGGGGTGGGCTCTGAGGGGAGTGAGGTCCACATTGGCCTGTCCTCACTCTGGCTCTGGGCTGAGTCCTGTTTCAGAGCCAACCCCATTAGGGCATGCCCCCTCCTCCCCCCCCCCCCCCCCCGGGGGCATATCTCAGTGCCCGGGTCTGCCCTGCACTGCCTGCGTTTGCCCGTGCCTGTGGATACTAGACTGGTATCCCCACTGGTACTTTAGTCCTGACTAAAAAAAAAAAATTTCGATTTTTTTTTTTTTGGTAATATTTGGCTGGAGTGATAGCACAGTGGGTAGGGCGTTTGCCTTGCATGCGGCCCATCCAGGCTACCCGGGTTCGATTCCTCTGCCCCTCTCGGAGAACCCAGCAAGCTACCAAGAGTATCTCGCCCACACAGCAAAGAATGTCAAGCTCCCTGTGATGTATTCCATATGCCAAACACAGTAACAACATGTCCCACAATGGAGACGTTACTGGGCCCGCTCGAGCAAATCGAGGAACAACGGGAGGACAGTGACATAGTGCTACAATATTTGATGGGGCCTTCAACGGTATGTTTGTAGAAAGACACATTTATCAATTTGATTTTTCCTGAACTCCTCCTGTTGTTCCTTTGGCAGTCTGGTGTTAAATAAATGTTGGACAAATGACCCCAAACCTTGCTTTTCTGTGCCTGAACATATCAGACACCCCGGAGAAGCTGGGCGATTTTCAACACTTGCTGTTTTGCTAAATTTATGTGCTGCCACACAGGGGCCAGCCCCTAGCACGCGTGTTGTTGGGAAGCAAGTGGACTCACCCTCAGGGGTCGGTTAATTTATTTTTCTCCAATAGTTTATATTCAATTTTATACTTTTTTTTATTATTAGTGAAACACCATGAGGTACAGTTGTGGACTTACATATTTTGTGCTTGGGTTTCAATTATACAATGATCAAATACCCATCCCTCCACCAGTGCCCATTTTCCACCACCGTGGATCCCTGTATCCCTCCCACCCCCCATCCCCCCCATTCCACCCTGCCTCTGTAGCAGGGCATTCCCTTTTGTTCTCTCCTTTTGGGTGCTGTGGTTTGCAAAAGAGGCATTGAGTGGTAATCATGTTCAGTCTATAGTTTACTCTCAGCATGCATCTCCCATCCTGGGAGGATCCTCCCAACACCCTTTATTTGGTGCTCCCTTCTCTATCTGAGCTCTCAGGGGTCGGTTTAATGTCACACCTTCACCTTCACCAATTCCTAGCCCCCCTCCCCCACTCTCCCCCGAATCAGCCTGATGACGTCAGGAAAGTCGCCAGATCCAGCTGGGCCTCACCCCCCCCTGCTCCTGCTGTCTCCCACTCTCCCCCACTGCTAGCCTAGGGCCATCGTGACCTGCCTCCCAGCTCATGGGGGCTCAGCTGTGACCCACAGTGGCCGCAGTTAGATGACGGCCTTCTCCCGCCCCGGTCCAGACACGTGCATGGGGGACGCACTTCCTTGCCCCGGTAGGGAGCACCATCTTTGCTCTCCCCCCCACACCATCCAGGGCGCTGTTCTCGAGGGCGCTGGAGGGGGCGGACCTGACTCATCTCCGAGGGCTTCGTGCTTTGGAGCCCTGACACCCGAGCCAGCGCTGGGTCAGCCTGCTCAGTCCCCAGTGTGGGACGTCCAGGCTGCAGGTGTCCTGGCCCGATACCAGGGACACTGGCCTTTCCCAACATCGAGCCAGCGCCCTGGGCCCCCCCGGCTGTGGCGTCGCATGGGGGGGTGTGGGACACGTATTTGTGGGGGGGGGAAAGGAAAAAAAAATCCCTCATCTCCGGTTGCCACTGACTAATTCCAACCCTTTTCTTAGCTTCGCTGCGAGGGATGCAGGAGGTCCTCCAGAGAAAGGCGCTTCTTGCATTTCACAGGTGAGTGGGAGTTCATCTTTTTTCTCTCCACTGTACATAATGACACCCAAGTATGATAAGTATAAAAAAGAAGAGATATTTATAACGGTTATGTAAACAGTGTGTTTCTCCCCCCCCCCTCCACACACACACACACACACACACACACACACATACACACACACCCTCATCCCCCCCCCCCGCCACCCCCACCCCGGGAAGTCTTTCCTCTTGAGCACTGAACATACAGTATCAAGACTTGCCGCCTCACTGTTGCCGTGGAATCTGCATTCTTAATCTGCCCCTCCATCTGGGCGTCCGATGCCTCCCCGGGCGAGATCCCAGCTCTAGCAGAAGCGCGCTCTGCGTGTCTCGGGAGAGGCGTTTGTCCTCATCCAGCGAAGGGATCATGCTTTTCCAACCTGGCCCTCCCCCCGCTCCCCCCACCACCCAGCACATCCCATCCACCTTTTTTTTTTCCTCAAATCATGTCAAGCCAATGGTTTTGAAATGAAGAAGCCAGATTTTAGCACAGAGGCTGGGTGGATATATGTGTGAGGAGGTTGATCCACCCCAACAGCCTGCCCCCACCGCACCCCTACCCCCATCCCCCATGTGACCTGCCCCCCCATCACCCCCCTCCCACTCCTTGCTCTTTCACGCTCCAGTTTGAAGGCCGGCTGCCCCATGCCTGCTCGGTGGAGGGCTAGTAGTGCGCCTACTCCTGGTCGGGAATGGAACTGCAGGAGGCAAGGGTCCTCCAGAGCCTTTGAAACCTGGGTGCTGCCCGGATCCCCTCCCGGGCCCCCGCCTTCCTGCTCCTTGCGTCCCACACTGTCTCCATTGTATTCGGAGTGTAGGTATACCCGGTCACCCAAAGGAACCACTGCCTGGAAGGGACAGCCAGCCCCCCCCCCCAAATGACGTCAGTCCTGGAATTGATATTGATTCTGTTGCCTTAGCGACGCCTGGCTCGCAACGGTTTCCTGAGTTTGCACTCAGAACTTAATTACACGTCCGGATATTTTACGACGCCCTCTCAGAACCTAATAAACACGGGCAGATTTTCCTTCCCTCCGAACCAGGGTTTTTTTGCTGCCAGCCTTGTCCCTTTCTCGTGAAGTCATTATCCTGTGGTTTCACTTCCCCGAGTCTGACACTCTTTCGTCTCATTTCTTCTGTCTCCTCGGGGGCCTGCCCGGTCCCTTTTTCACCCTGCCAGCCCCCATCTGCTGAATGACCAAAAAGTACCAGTTGACATCTGCAGGCGAAGCTTTTGTTGTCGTCTTGCGCTCAGAGTGTGGAAAGCATTTCCATTGCAAATGTTCTGGAGTTTGAAACTCTCCGGCCTCAGTATGGAATGCCTCCCTCCCCCCCCCCCCCCCAACCACGGGAGCCCAAGAAAGTGGCCGTTACATCTGCCTGGCTTTTCTTAGACCCACGCATCCCCACCGACTCCCAGAGCAACCTGCAGGTGGTCTGCCTCGTGGTGCCAGGATTCGTGGCTTCATGTTATATGACAGTTGTTCCCTTGGCCTCGATTCCTTTTTTGCTCTTTTTTTTTTTTTGCTTATGTTTTAATTCAAAGGGATTTTTAAGATTTTTGCTCCTATGGGAGTCAAGAGTAATCTATGTCTTTGGGGGAAGGCCACCTTACATTCGTGTTTATGTAAAAGACTAATTTTCAAAGGAACGAAATGCTTTTGTTTCAGATACAGTGACTAGGAAGCCTAGCTCATTGTAGGTGAAACAAAATTATGGAGGGTTTTATGTAAAAAAAGAAAGATTTGGGGGGCCGGAGTGACAGCACAGAGGGGAGGGCACTTGCCTTGCATAATGGCCAACCCGGGTTCGAGCCCCAACATCCCTGAGCCTCACCAGGAGAAAATACTGATGCCAGGAGTAACCCCTGAGCATTGCCAGCTGTGACCCAAAAAGAATAAATAAGTAAAACTTTAAAAAAAGAGAGAGAAAGGTAGATAGTATTATAGGGTGCTTAACTTGTACACAGCCAATCCAGGTGCAATCCTCAGCACCAGAGTCTTCCAGGTGTGATTCCTGAGCACAGAACCAGGAGCAAGACCTGAGCAGCACCGGATATAGCTCCAAAACAAAGAAAAACAAAATAACAAAAAAAATTATAATGAAAGTGCCCCCAGGCTGTGTTTTCACTCACCCATTCATCTATCCACCCACCCACCCACCACTCATGATTCCCCTATTCATAGAATCATCTATCCATCCATCCATCCATCATCCATTCAACTACCCATCATCATCTATCCATCAGTCATGTGGTTACCCATCCTCCATTCGTCTGTCATCCATCCATCCATCCATCCATCCATTCACCCATCATCTGTCCATCATCACCCAACCATCCTCTCGTCATCTATCTGTCATCTGTCACTGTCCATATTGCATGTTCCAGTGAATTCCAGGTCCTGGGCCAGACACTGGGTAGTTTTCAGCTAAATAATACAAATGCCTTTTCTTGAGGTTGATCCCCTGCTTTCGCATGCACACACACACCCACACACACACCCACACACACCAGGAGGAGGACCCAAAGTGATCATCACAGCATTGTAGGAAGTAGTGCTCTGAAAGGCACACCAGGCTACTAATGGAGAGTATGAGACAGGTCACCCAGCGTGCTAGAAATCCCTCCCCCCACCCCCCACTGTCTTCTAGATTCTGGTTCCAACATCCGCTAGGGCTGAACCAATAACACAGAGAAGACTGGGACCCGGAGGATGCTTGTCTCACACACGCCCCACCTGGGCTCCATCCTTGGCATCCCACAGGATCCCCCAAGCCCTGCCAGTAGTGATCCCTGAGCACCGCCAAGTGTGGCCCAAAAGCTAAAAAGGGAAAAAAAAAAGAGGCATGGCTAATCAATTTGACCCCGTCCATAGGATACATCATACCTTATAATAATGACTATGACTTACAATGTATCTATTAAGCATCTTGTCCAAGAATATTCAGCAAAAAAGGTAGAGCCAGAAGGGAGGTTCTTCTGGACCTGGTCTCTCTCTCTCACTGCCTTGTTTTGCCAATTCTCCCCGAAGTCCCCTTCAGTCATGCTTATCATGGATATGCAATTGATGTACTAGCAAGTTAGGAAAAATATGCACAAACTTGGGTAAATATATGACTCAGGAGCCTCCAATCAGACATACACACAGGATGGCCAGCGCTGACCAAGGTTTGCCAGATGTGTTCCTGCCCTCACACTGTAACCACTGAGGCTCTGCCATCCTGGGCTGTCAGTCACTCTCTCCACATGAAACAGGCTGCGCTGGAACTTCAACTCAGCAGGGGCCGGGGGGTACTGAATGAGAGTGTGTGTCCTATGGGGGGGCCGGGCACCAGTGCCACCTGCCACCCCTTCCTCAGGGAGCGGCCTGGATTCCTGCAGACAGGGAGCTGTGCCACAGCCACGGGCGCTCAGCTGGGCCCGGGCTACTCTCTCCCTTACACCGCTGCATCTCAGGATGCTTTGCAGACAACACTGTCTCTCTTTGCTGCGCTTTTGTTCAGGGCCAATGCGTTGGTTCAGCTGATGGGGCCACAGCTGTGGACACTGAGGGTTTCAATATGCAGATGCAGCCATGCCGCTGGGATGCCATAATCACCCCCACATCCATCCGCTGCAGAGCAAGCACCCCTCTCCCTTCCCCCCCGCACATTGGCATCCCCCCACACACAGCATGGCCCTGTTCAGGGGGTTCCACCCTTTATTTCTGGTCCCGATGGTTTTTAAATATCCATGTACCTTTAAGAAAGAACACGCTTTGGGTGAGGGAGGGGCCTTTCGAAGTGCTGTTTCCACTCTGCTGGCTGCAATGGCCACTTTGGGTCTTCTCCTTGTATGTGTTTGGGGGAGCAGGTGGTGCACCTCAGGTGTATCCGCAGGCTCTCCAAAGTCTGGTGTAGGGTCTGGGATTACAGTGGGAACAGGCAGTATGGACAGTAATAACTGAGTGGGTAGAAGATGGGTGGATGATTAGATGATAGATAAGTGGATGAATGAACAGTTGGATGGGTGATTGGTAGGTGGACAGATGGATGAATGCATGAATGGATGGAGACATGATGGTTATATGGTGGAAGGATGGTTGGATGGATGGATGGATGGATGAATGGATGGATGGATGATGGTTCTGTGATGGATAGACGGATGGATGATGGGTAGATGGACGGATGATGGGTGGGTGAATCACGGTTTTTTGAATGAGTGGACAGGTAGAGGAGTAGGTGGGTAGATGTATAGATGGGTGGGTTGCCAACTAGGCCCGCAATCTCTCAGTTCTTTCTAGAAGAGAAATTAATGAGTGTGGAGTTGCCTTGGCAAGGAAAGGGCTCTCTAAGCCTTTCTGTAGTGACATTTTCGGGTTTCTCAGCAGGCTGGCCAGGTGCTCTGCCTGTATGGGAATGGGGGGTTATTTAAACCCACGTGTAGATTCCAACAGACTTGCAAGTTTTCAGGATTCAAGATCCCCAACGTCCTCTCGCTGCGGTGCTTCCTGATTCCTGTGGAGGGAGTTGTCTGTGGGCACCCCTATGTGGCTTAGTCACAGGAAGCCCAGCTGCTAAAACAAGCCCTCTGGAATCCACAGGAAATCAGCACAGGGTACCTTGTTTTGTCTTCCTGGGCATTCTCCTGGTTTCTTTTTTTTTTCCTTTCACAGGCTCAAAGGGTGAATTTAACGCATTAGCCAAATGACAAAAATTAGAGGGTTTTTTGTTTGTGTGATTTGGCTTTATTGGCTTTTACGGTGCCAGGGACTGCACCCAGAGCCCATCCTGGGCCAGGCATGCGCTCTGCCGCTGAGCCTCAAACCTGGCCCCAAACAAGAGCTTTCAGAATATGTCTGTTTGGGCCGTGCTTCATTGGGAAGTTGGCAGTTGGGCATCCCTGATTCGCCAAGTTGGCACTTCTTTAGATGTCCTCCCAATGTGCCCCAGAAATGCCAATTTTGAGTACTTTCTGGTTTGTCTCTCTGAGGACTGTGGCTCTGGTTGATGTTTGTGGAAGAGGCCAGCATGGGGCCATTGGCCAGAACTATCCTATCGATGACCCAGATTCACCAGGCTACCGCCAGCCTGCCACCTGGTTGGTTTTGGGTCAAAGCAAACATGTTTGGATTTTACTTAATTTGTGAGAAATCTAAACTTAGGCTGAGAAAATTAGCACTCTGAGGAATTCTTTCAGGAGTGTGTGTGTGTGTGTGTGTGTGTGTGTGTGTGGCGGACGGGGATGGGAGGGGGGGTCATAGAAATCTGCCTTTCTTCATTGTATAATGAGCAATGCTAAATAACTCAAAAGTCTCTTCCTCCCTAATTTCACATTCATTTCTCCTGGGTATGGGGAGAGACAGAAACCCTAACCATCTCATTAATCTCACTTTCCATCAACACCGAAGCAGAAACATTTATTTGTTGTTTGGATCCATGGGCTGGAGCCATAGCACAGCGGTAGGGCATTTGCCTTGCACGCAGCCAGCCCGGCCGAGCTGGGTTCGATTCCTCCGCCCCTCTTGGAGAGCCTGGCAAGCTACGGAGAGTATCTTGCCCGCATGGCAAAGCCTGGCAAGCTCCCCGTGACGTATTCGATATGCCAAACACAGCAACAACAAGTCTCAAAAAATGGAGACGTTATTGGGCCCACTCGAGCAAATTGATGAACAACAGGAGGACACACACACACACACACACACACACACACACACATACACACATACTGTTGGATTCATGGAGAAACCAGTAACTGCATGATGGAGCATGCAGGAGCTCGCAGAGTAAGTCTGCAGTAGGAATGAGGCACTCAGGAGAGCAGAGTCACAGAGAGAGACTCAGGGAGGAAAGCACCGGGCTGGGTCCCCAGGGAGGGCTCCTGATGATGGCTCTCCCGAGACAAACGTTCGGTGGAACGGAAGGACAGGGTTGGTGAAGGACTGCTTTTGGCCCCAGCCCCACGTGAACATCACTGCTTGTGCCAAAGCAGACTGCTGGCCTGGGCGTGTTGTCTGGACGGCAAACCCTGGGGTGCTTCAAGTCCCTTTGCTGTCACAGATGGTTCCGTGTCAGGGCCTCCTTGCCCGGGAGCAGTGCCTGGCATGTTGGCCAGTGTTGGGCCCACGGTGACTCAACAGTTCTTCTTGCTCTCTCTCTCTTGGATTGTTTTCTGCTGGGGAAAGCTGCTCCTTGGCCCCAGCATGTAGAAGGGGCAGAGTGAGGTTGGCTCGCAGTCTGGGGCCCGCCATCGGTGGCTGGTCCATTCTGTCTGCCCGTACAGGAAGCAAAGGGTGTCTTCTCTTCCCGCCAGACTGCTAAAGCACAGGATTATCTTGTTTACAGCCACATGTCGACTTTGGCTTTGCTTTGTAGGGGGCCAAACCAGCAGTGCTCAGGGATTATTCCCGACTCTATGCTCAGGCGACCATATGTGGTGTCGGGGATTGAACCAAGGTCTCGGCCGTGTGCAAAGCAAGCGCCCTGCCCACAGTGCTAGTTTCCTCCAGGCATGCTTTGAGTTGTTCCTGGTGAAAGACAGTGGACTTCCACAGGAAGGGGCTGTTGACCACACTTGCCATCATCAGGAACCTGTGCTGCCTCTTCCATTGCCGTGTCAAGGGGCCACTCTCGGGACAAGGCCTGGCGCCTTGCCCCAGATCAGTAAGCTGTGCGTAACTTAGAAGACTCAGAAAACTGAATGCGTATCTTTTTCTTTCTTCTCCCTATAATTTTTCACTGCCTGCCCCACCCCAACTCCACACCCCCCCCAAAAAAAAAACTCGTAAAAAGCAAAGCCGGGTCACTTCTTTTTGGTTCCTCTAAAATTCAAAAATATGGGGCCGGAGCGATACCACAGCGGGTAGGGCGTTTGCCTTGCACACGGCTGACCCGGGTTCAATCCCCGGCATCCCATATGGTCCCCCAAGGAGTAATTCCTGAGTGCGGAGCCAGGAGTAACCCCTGAGCATCACTGGGTGTGACCTCCCCCCCCAAAAAAAACAAAACAAAATCCAGACATGTGTCTGTCGTGATATTAACGCCTAGACCCAACTCAACCACGGTGGCCACTCCCTTGTCAAGCCCGCGACTGGTGTGTGTCCCTGTGTTCTGGCAGGATGCCGGGAGGTGTCTGTGGGGGGTAGAGGGGTGGCTCTGGGTATCCGTCTTCCTCGCAGAGCCTCGGGGATGTGGCTGCCGCTTCCAATGCAGACACGGAAGCTTGTGTCTGTGTCACCCCGTGTAGTGAGAAGAGAAACGTCTGCGTTTGTTAGCGGGCCAGGGAGTGGCACCCCCCCCCCCCCGGGGGGGGGGCAGCCTCCGTGTCCAAATGCTTGTGGCAGCGCGCCGGCGTGGGTAGGGAGGAGGGAAGGGCCGCACCCCATGCTAACAGCCGCCACTGCTTTTCCAGGGCCCACAGTCTGTCTCCTACAGACCACCAAGCCGCCTTCTACCTGGCTCTGCAGCTGGCCATCTCCAGACAGGTCAGTGTCCCACTCCTGCTGCTGTGTCTGCCCCTGGCCCGCCCCCCCCCCACGCACCCCCACTTCCTGCCTGCCCCCCCTCCCCAGGCTGACCAGTAGCGTCCCTTGGAGGACACTGACCCCCTCCTCAACCCTCTGGTCCCTTTGCACACCAGACTCAGGCTCGCCACGCTCTGCCTTTAGAGGTCAAGTCCAGAAACCCAAAGGGTCCCCGCGGCTTGGGGCGGGTGGCAACCTGGTCAGTGGCCTAGGGCCTCCCCGCCGGAACAGCCCAGGTGTCATCAGCGGGTCTTGGTCCCTGCCTGCAGAGGACACCTGGTCCCTGGTGACTGCCAGGAGCTGCTAGCACCGAGGGTGGCTCCTGGGGCGGGGTGGGGGGGCGGGGAGAGGTTGCAGGAAGGCTTGGCCACAGGCTCGCAGGCGTGCCCTGCTCAGCGGCTCTGCCTCCTCCCCTTCCCCTGCAGCTTTCAGAAGCTTCTGCCCCCTCCAAGGCCCTCCCAGCTGTTCTGGACAGTGGCCGCTGACCGGCCGGCCTGCCTGCCCACCAGGTGCAAGGCCCAGCAGTGGCCCGGCGGGTTCACCAGTACTGACTGGAGGGGAGACCCAAGGTCAGTCCCCAGACACGCCCAGCCAGTCTGCCCTCTCCTGTCAAGGCTCTCACCCGACACTTGGCTGCCCCTCCCTCCTCAGGGGCCCCCTGCTCAAGCGACCTATACGCCCCGTTCCAGCTCGCCCCACCCCCAAGCTTCCCATCCAGTGTCACTCTCACCTGACCTCCGTTTCCGGGAGTGCAGAGCAGATCTGTCCGCATCTCTGCAGGCCTGGCTGGGGCGGGGTCCCCGGGAATAGTGGTCCTCGGGGTGGGCCCCCCACGTCTGGCCCACCTGCACGCTAACACCAGGTTAGCCCCCCTTGCTGTTTGGAGGGGGAGGGGAGGGTTGCCTCAAGGCCTACTCTGGGGCACCCACTGCCAATGCTTAGCTACCAGCGCCCAACAGTTCAATCTTGGGGTCCAGCGGTTCTAGACGGGGGCACGGCAGTACGGGGCAGGACCTGGCACTGCGACTCTCTCCCCCGGCCCTGTGTCCCCTGGTCTTTGTCTAGTTTGGTTAATTCTGAGGGGGTCACCCCTGGCAGGGCTTGCTCCTGACTCTGAGCTCGGGGATCACGCCTGGTGGTGCTCCTGGGGGACCAGATGGGATGCCGGGGATCGAACCCCGGACTGGCTTGCATGCAAGGCAAGTCCCCTCTCCGCTATCCTATCACTCCAGCCCCTGTGTGTTCCCCGGTGGTTGTCCCGGGAGGTTGTCAGCCTGAGGAGTGGCCATGTGCATGTGGCTGCAGAGCCGCTGTGGGCACAGAGGGGCACCACCACCCACGCGGGGGGCGGGGGGGGGCGTGGTGATTCTCATGGCCTGAGACACAGGTGGTGTCCAGTTTCACTCAGGGGCCGCTGGAGCAGGAGGGGAGGGTGGGAGCGGTACCCGCCCAAGACCTGGAACCCTCACTCTCTCCTCTCAGCTCGCAGGAGCCAGGCCCTCTGCCCCAGCCCTATTGCTTCCTGGGACTCAGTTTCCTCCCCACACCAAGGGCAGCGCCCGGTGACCATTGCTTTCCCCGCTGTGACCGCTTGGTTCCGGCGCCACGTGTTGGCAGCCCCTCTAGCCCACGCTGAACACCTCGAACCCGTCAAGGCCAGAGAGAGAGACGGCACAGGAATGAAAACGCTTGCCTTCAACGTGGCTGCCCCCTGGTTTTATTCCAACCCCACATGGATTCCCCCCCCCTTCCTGCCACACATACACACACACACACACACACACACACACACACACACACACACACTGCTCCCCGCTCCCAAATTAATACTAGGAATAAATCCCAAGCACAGAGCCAGGAGTATAGCTGGGCACGGGCCCCTTTCCCCCTAAAAAATGAAATTTCCAAGCAGAAAGCTAATGGATTAGGGAAAGACAGAAGCCAGCAGGGTTCCCTAAGGTGGGATATTGCCGAGGGTTTGGGGGGATTGTGAGTGCGGGGACTGAGAAGCATTCCCAGGAGGACTGGGGCTCCGTTTCGAGCTCCAGCTTCAGGCCCGACTTCTCCCTCGCTGGCTGGGAACTTCAGGGACCTAGACCAGTGCCTTCTGCTGGGAGGGCGGCGAAGACCCCCTTCGGCAGAGGCTGCAGCCGGAAGGCCATGGGCTAGCTGCTACCCTCAGATTTGTGACCCTATGATTTATTTCTCAGAGGGAGCTGTTTCGGGGTATCGCTCGGAGCGGGGGGGGGGGGGGGTGGACTCGTGTTTGTTTGCCTGCTTTCTCGATATCTCCCGGAGAATCGGGGACAGAGGGGTCGGAAAAGAATTACCAGAGTCTGATTCCTTGATCAACGTTTCGTGACTGTGCGCTGAAATTTCAGTGATACTTTTTTTTTTTTAAAAAAAAAAAAAAGAAAAGAAACTCCAGACCGTTTGGGGCAGGGTGGTTCCATTTCCCCTGGAAAAACCTGGCACCGCATCTCTGTCTTCATTTAGAGGGGAATTATCTTGGGCATCGTCAAAAGTAGCTCTGTTCTGGGGAAGAAGAGCAAGTGTTTATTTCGAGAGAAGGAACAGATTTGGGGTTGGCGGTCACAGCGAGATGCGACGACTCGCGCGTCCCTTCCCGGGCTTGCCCGCCGCCTGGAGAGAGGGGCCAGCTGCTTCCGTGTCTGCGGTGATGGCCTGGGACAGGCATGGGGGCCGGCTGAGAACTCACGCCCTGTACTAAATCGACACAAGCTTTTAGACTCCGAGGCCAGAGGAGGGGGTGCCCCCAGGGAAGCGAGTGGTGAAGGGCAGAGCTGGACTTCCAGCAGATTTTTTCCATCGAATGTATTTTTTCCATTGCCCATCAACACTATTGATTTTCCAGGGTACACACCCAAAGCTACGATAGAAGGCAGTTGTGCCTCAGAAGAATAAATAAATAGGGGCTGGAGCGATACTGCAGCAGGGAGGGCATTTGCCTTGCACGTGGTCGACCCAGGTTCGATCCCCCGGCATCCCATATGGTCCCCCAAGCAGCGCCAGGAGGGACTCCTGAGTGCAGAGCCAGAACAGACCTGAGCATCTTTGAGGGTGTGACTCAAAGACATCGTAAAATAAGAAAGATTGGTTTTTAAATACCCCCCCCCCAAAGATAGATACAGAACAATGTCTCTTACTGGTGGAGTTTAAAGATGCACCATGAGGGGCTGGAGCGATAGCACAGCAGGTAGGGTGTTTTGCCTTACATGCGGCCGACCTGAGTTCGATTCCCAGCGTCCCATAGGGTCCTCTGAGCACCACCAGGAGTAACGCCTGTGCATTGCCGGGTGTGACCCAAAAAGGGGGGCAGTAGGAATGAAGGGTTGGTCCACAGAACTGAGTCAGAGGGTGGGGTGGGGATGGGGGTCTGAACCGGAGGGTCCACTGGGACCTTGGGAAAGGAAGTGGATCCGTGGGTAGTGGGTGAGGGATTGGAATGATGTATGCACAAAACCATCATTAACGGTATTATAAATAACAGTATACCTCAATAAAAATTTCAAAATAGGGGCCAGAGTGATAGGGCAGTGGGGGGGGGGGGGAGGAAGCTTACCTTGCACACAGCCGTCCCCCCTTTCCCCTTCCCACATGCACACACACACGCAAGCAAAAATAAATGTGAAGTTGGCGAGCTAGTACAGCAGGGAAAACACTTCCCTCCAATGTGGCCTACTCTGGTCTGATCCCCAGCATTGCTTGGAGTCCCCCAAGTCCCACTAGGAGTCAGCCCTGAGCACTTCCGGGTGTGGCCTTGCCCCAAAGGAAAGAGGAATAAATGATGAACACACACGCACACACACGCACATGCACACACACGCATGCACATATTCACACGCATGCACACACGTGCACACACACGTGCAGATACACACACACACACACACATACCCCTGGCTTCCGAGCTGTGCGTGCCTCCAGACGAAGCAGCTTCTGACACAGGACCGTGGGTCAGCTGGGGATGGCCGCCCCTCTGGGCGTGTGTTGAAACAGTCCCTGGGGCTTTGTCTCCCCCCAGATCCCAGAGGCCCTGGGCTACGTCCGCCAGGCCCTCCAGCTGCAGGGCGACGACGCCAACTCCCTGCACCTACTGGCCCTGCTGCTGTCGGCACAGAAGCATTACCACGACGCCCTCAACATCATCGACATGGCGCTGAGCGAGTACCCGGAGAACTTCATGTGAGTGTCCCCCCCCCTGGCCCGGCCACGGCTCCCTCCTACCTCGCAGGGACTGTCCTCCCTGCCCCACCCCCAGGCCCTTCCTGAGTGGCTTTGTCTGGGTTCTGAGAAACTGAGAGCCTCAGAGGGGTCCTGGCTGAGTCAGGACGTGCTGCTCTCGCCCCTGAGTCCCCTGGGGTCCACAGGATGGCTCGGAGGTCAGTTATGGTGTCCTGCATTCCCAGAGGTGCTTTAGGGGGAAACATCTGAGTCTAATTTCATGGACATCATTGCTCAGAGGGAGACAGAGGCGTGGCTCAGCCGAGGCATGTTAAAGTCAGGGAGAAGGAAGCACTGAATCAGGACTGTGCTGTGTGGTGTGGTAGTGGCCGTCTCAGTCCTGTGATGGGTGCTTGGGGCCCCTTGTGGCGGGCAGTGCCTGCTGGACCTTTCCCGTGGGGCAGAGGCACCAGAGCCTTGGGAAACCTGGACAAGACCCTCCCCCTCCTTAGTGCCTCGGTCTTAGTTCTCGGGGAAAGTGGAATTCCTGGGATGAATCTGTCGCTGTCCCCCATGTTGCCTGGGACCAGGGCTAGGGGCGACCCTAGGCTCCACCCGTCTCTGCCTTCCCTGAACCCAGGCCTGCTCGTCAGACCCTGGGAGAAGGTCTTTCCCTTGCAGGCTGCTTGGGTACCATTTTGTCCTGCGGCAGAAGCCTAGTAATGTGTGCACAGGGCGCTGGAAACCGTCAAAGTCCAGGGAGACTGAGGCGGGTGCTGCGGGCAGGAGGGCAGGGCACGGCCCCGGCTGGCACTTTCTTAGTGTGGCAAGTGCAGGCTCTGTGAGTGTTTTGACTTGTTTTGATTGGGTTTGGTTTGGGGGCCACACCCCGCAGTGCTCAGGGCTTACCCTTGGCTCCTCCCGGATCACTCCTGGTGGGGCTTGGAGGACCCCACCAGGTGCCGGGGGTTGAACCCTAGCTGGCTGCGTGCATGGCAGGCGCCCTCCCTGCTCCCTGTACCGGTGCTCCGACCGCTCGGGTGAGCTTTGTTGTGGGCTCCGCTTCTCTGCCTCAGTACCTCCCTGTGCTTCACTGTGCATTTCAGCACCTCCCTTTGGAAAACTGGCTCATGCGTTTTCCATTACAAATGCTTCTTTGTCTTCTCCAGTGAGAAGGGCCCTTCCCTTCTCACCCTCTGGAAAATTCTCCTGATAATCCCAGAGGACCGGAGACTCCTCCAGCTCCTTCTGCAGCATGATGTGAAGAGCTTGGCTGCAGTATCTGACAGCTTGCGGGCCTCCGGCCTGCTCCCGGGCGCAGGAAGCAGCCATCTGGGTGGGACCCAAGGGGAGCTGGTCCGTGGGATCCGTCAGCCACGTGAGGTGCCTTGCAACTGACTTCAGGTCTCAGTATTGACAAACCGTGTCTCCCCGCCTGCCAACCCCACACATGGAATCGCACGCAGGACTCCAACCTCTGGCCCCAATTTCGGCCACACGGCATCGCCCACTAGGGCACGTTTTCTTTTTACGGTCATGGTCCTCCCGTTGTTCATCGATTTGCTCAAGCGGGCCCAGTAACGTCTCCATTGAAGACTTTGTTGTTACTGTGTTTGGCATATCGAATACATCACGGGTAGCTTGCCAGGCTCTGCCATGCGGGTGAGATACTCTCGGTAGCTTGCCGGGCTCTCTGAGGGGGGCGGAGGAATCGAACTCGGGGCTGGAGCGATAGCACAGCAGTAGGGTGTTTGCCTTGCACGCAGCCAATATGGCCAACCCGAGTTCGATTCCTCTGCCCCTCTCAGAGAGCCCGGCAAGCTACTGAGGGTATCTCGCCCGCATGGCAGAGCCTGGCAAGCTACCTGTGACGTATTTGATATGCCAAACACAGTAACAACAAGTCTCACAAAGGGCCCACTCGAGCAAATCGATGAACAACGGGAGGACTGTGACTGTTTTCTTTTTCTTTTATTTTATTTATTTGTTTATTGCTTTTTGGGTCACACCCAGCAATGCACAGGGGTTACTCCTGGCTCATGTACTCAGGAATTATCCTGGAGGTGCTTGGGGTACCCTATCGGATGCCAGGGATCAAATCTGGGTCGGCCGCTTGCAAGGCAAATGCCCTACCCATTGTACTATCTCTCCGGCCCCTTGTTTGCTTTTCAGTATTTGTCTTTCTCCCTTTGTCACAGTAAATGTCTCCCCAAGAGGACTTTGTTAGAAACTGGAGCCCAATGTAGTGAATGCCATGGTTTCTTCCCAGCCAGGGCCAAACATGCCAGCTCCGACCCATGTAGGGGTCATGTGGGCACTTGTCACGGCTGCCACGGGGCACTGTCTGCTGGTGACAGCTGTCTCTCGGGTGCAGTTGGAGCTCTCAGAAGCCTGGGGATGACACCTGGGCTTTCTCAAATCCCCCCGGCCCCGCTACCCCGGGCGGAAGCTTCTCCCATCCCTGCTATATGGAGACAAAGGCGCTTCCTGCTGCCAGGACTCACCCATCCCCCCCGCGAGCTCGTCTCTCGGCCTGGGGCCCCTTTACAAAGCACATCCAGAGAACTGGAATACCCGCTTCTGTCATCTCAGGCCGACAGGCAGGGTCAGTGGCGTCCGAGAGACCAGCTGCCCTCCCGAGGGCCCAGCTGCCTGAGACACTTGGTCTGCTGACCACTCCAGACCACACAGAATCCCGGGCGTGATTATTAGCACCTCAGTATTTAAAGTGTGATGCTCAGTATTTAAAGCGGAGTCTGCCTGAGTCATTGTCTGATTAGAGACCCAGGCGTGTTAGAAGATGGTAGAGGGTCGTTCCGATCATCTTCCCGCTGATATGCGCCCTGTCTCGTGAATGCGGCCTGTCAGTCTGTGCCCCGCTCTACCCTGGCCCTCAGTCACGTGCCACACATGTTAGCCTCCCCCCAGAATTCAGTTTCCACACAGGGTAGCCTTTGTCCGGAATTCAGTTTCCACGCAGGTTAGCCTCCCTCCGGAATTCAGTTTCTATCCATTTCTTTTGTTCCTTTGCCGCCTGTTTGGGTCCTAAGTAATTAAAAAATTCTATCTTTGTTTCTTTTCTTTCTATTTTCCTTTTGTTTTATTTTTTCCTGCGCCATACCCAGCACCTGGCTCTGCACTCAGAAATTAATCCTGGTGGGGCTTGGGGGACCACATGGGATGCTGGGGATTGAACCCAGGTTAGCCAGCCATGTGCAAGGCAAGCATCCTCCCTGCTGTTCCGTCCCTCCGGCTTCTTTTCTGTTTTTTTTTTTTTTAATGGAGCAGTATTAAATACTTCGTTAGACTGTTTGCTTCTGTTGCCTATATATTCCTAAGGTGTGTCCTCATTACACAGCCCCAGTCTGTTCCCTCATAGCCATGAGCAGTGGTGGTTATTGTACCAAGGTTTGTCTTCGCAACCTGTTGGAAGAGGCTCTGCTGGCCGTTTTCCGTGACTGGCTGTTCTGAGGAGGGCTGCTGTGGCCGTTCTCACATGGCTCCCTCGACGCCTTTGCCTGTCTGTGCTCCCGTGGGCAGACCCCTGCACCTGAAGCCATACGGCTATTGGATAGGTGCATCTCGACCAAGGGGTTCCAGACGGGTTCATTTGCGTCAGCTTGGAATTACCTGGTGCTGGACTAAGTTCTGATAGAATTCTCCTGTAAAACCCTCCGAGGTTAAATGACTCTTCTATAAAAAAGATCCTGATGTCTTTTAAAAATGATAGGGCTGGATTGACAGCACATCGGGGAGGGCGCTTGTCTTGCACGTAACTGACCCGGCTTGGGTCCCCAGCATCCCATAGGGTCCCCCGAGCCCCACCAGGAATAATTCCTGAGTGCAGGACCAGGAGTGACCCCTCAGCATAACTGAGTGTGGCCCAAAACCCAAAAATAAATAAATGATAAGTTGTAATAACATACTTGAAATATGGCTATTTCATCTAGTTTTTTACTGGGTGGGGGGGGGGGAGGGAGTGATGGGCTCTGAGTCCCTCCCAGCAATTCTAACAGGTCAGGGACTAACTGTGACAGTCTAAGGGTAAGAAGAGTGTATGGTGGCATGGTAAGACCAGGTCAATCTTATCAGAGCACACGCTCTAACCCACCCAGTGCCACCTTTGCCACCCTCACCATGGTTTTAAACCATCTTTTATTTTTGCACAGAATCTATGTGCATATATATATATATATTTATATATAAGACTGTCTTAAAAGCTTATATATAAGACTGCTTATATATAAGCATATATATATATATGCTTTTTTCTTTTCTTTCAATTTTTGGGGCCATCCCTGGCAAGGTGCAGGGGGACCACATACTCTATGATGCTGGGGATCAAACCCAGGTCAGCCCCATGCAAGGCAAGTGCCCTATCTGCTGTACTCTCTCTCGAGCCCCAAGTGTTTTCATTTTAATATTCTCTATTCTGTCTTTTCTTTAAAATTTCCTTGTATAGTCTCTGTCAGAAATGTGTCTGTTTATATTGATCTTTTCCAAGAAACAATAGTTTTATATGATTAAAATGCTGGTTTCACTTACTTTATGAATTTCTATACTTCTTGTGTATTATTTTCTTCAGTTTTCTTTGATTTTTGTTCTGTCTGGCTTTAGTTTGGCTTCCTTCTTAATCTTCTTTTCTTTCATTTTGAGGGCCATGACCTGGCTGTGCTCAGGGCTCACTCCTGTGGGATTCAAGGGACCACGTGAGCTATCTGAGTGACCATATGTAAGACAAGCACCCTACCTGATGTCTGACAGTCTTAATTTTTTTTTCTTTTTGGGTCATACCCAGTGATAACCAGGTGTTACCCCTGGCTCTGCACTCAGGAATTACTTTTGGCGTGCTTGGGGAACCATATGGGATGCCAGCGATTGAACCTGGGTCGGCTGCGTGTAAGGCAAACACCCTACCTGCTGTGCTATCGTTCCAGCCCCAGTCTTAATATTTTTAATTGATGTTTATCGCATTATATTTTTCTTTATTATTTTCTGAAAGAGCTTTTAAGATGAAAAAC